TATGAAAGCAACTTTTCTATTAAAGCCTCAAATGTTTATTTTTTATTTATTTATTTTTTTTAACAGTGTCCTGTCTGGCAATGTTGCAATAAGAATAATTGTCTTGATGCCAAAAAGAGCCCAACAGATTTTACTTTCACAAGTGCAGCAGTATGGCAATTGCCATATAGCTCCACTTGTTTCATGCAAATAAATTGCTTTATTATAATTATTCAGGGAGTTTTACAGTTTATATGGACACTGCAATGTAAATAGAACAGAAAAACAGAAGAAGAAATATGAAAAATAAAAAAAAAAGAGAAAAGATGAATGAAAGAAAGGAGACAAATGTTTATCTGAGAAAATCAATGAATAATCAGCATCTGGAAGACGAATGAAAACGGGTCATAAGTTTAAAGCAGAGTTAAATTATAAGAAGCAAAATGTTTAACCTCAGCTTTGAACGTCAAAAGTACAGCACCGCTGCAAACGTCAAACTAAAACACACTGAAAGCGTATAGGAGAGCTTAAATTTGTTTTTGTGGAATAAAGCTGAAATAAAAGTTGTTTGAACACTGCAAAAATCCTCTCAAAATGAGTAAAAATGTCTCAAATTAAGGTTATTTACCCTTAATTTGAGCAGGTAAATAAAATGATTTGCCAATGGAATTAGTATTTTTACTCTTTAAATAAGGTATCTAGATAAAATGCACTTGAAATAAGACAATGCAATAGTTTTTTCTTATTTTAAGTGTAAATTGTCTTGTTCCATTCGCAAAGTGTCTCACTTAAATCCTTAATTCAAGAAAAAATGCACTTATTTTAAGAAGAAATTACTTATTTAGATTTAATTTTTTTGCAGTGAAGAACCTATAAAAAGTCAATCCAATGTAGAGGAAGTGGAATAAGCTGCTGCTCTAATCTGATCAGACTGAAGTTGAATTTCATGTCCTATACACAAAACTCTGTGTTGGAAAAACCGAAAAACACATGACCCTGAACATAACATTTCCATTGTAAAACATAATGGTGGCAGGATCATGTGATGGGGAATTTAGGTAACGATAGATGGATAAAACGTATCACCCGTTACTCGAGCTTTGCGTCACATCATTTTAAATAAAAGCTGATGTTTTCCACTCACTTTAAAATCACCCTGTCATTTCAAACCTTTGGTTCTGCAGTTACCTTCATCTGTTCTGTTTGTCTTTAAAGGAAATCTTGACTTCACAGAATTCCTCTTTAGTTAAAAGATAAAAATGAAATCCTGATATGAGCAGAATCCTCCAAGGAGGAAGTTTCTGTCCTGCTGTCATCCGGTGATGACCATAGAAGGATGAGATGCGATCTCTTCTCCCCACGGTCGCCTAACAGGAACAAAGGCAGGATGAACTTTACCAGAGGAGCTCTGACTGGTATAAAGACAGAGTAATGCAACATGTTGGCCTCATATTAGATGTCAGCTCTGCTGCAGCCGTCGGTAATGAGCTGAATGCTAATTGATTTACTTTTAATTATCCTTCTTTTTCTGCTTTCAATTAAAAAGCTGTGCGGCCAGTCGCCGCTCTGTGAGGATCCTGGTAGCTGCAGCAGAGCCGGTCATTTTACACAGATCAGATCTAGATTTTTCTACCCTTCATTTTCATTTGGACCCTTTCTTTATCCGTGAAATTGTTTTCAAACCCTCCAAGATTCAATCTGACGTCAAATTTTCTTTGACATTTCAATTCAGCTTACAGTAGCAGCCATTCAAAATGGCCCTTCCCAGGCAAACGCCAGCCGAATGGCAGCCCAGCCACTGGAGCAACTCCCTCTTGAATATTTTTTTTACTCTGACTCCAACATTTCACTAAATTAAAGGGTCTGACCAGGAGATAACGCTTCTCTGTAGATCTTAATGTCCACAAATCATGACAGAAAGAATATTTTAGTACAAATATTGATGTTTATAAATGAAATGTAGGGGACCATTCAAGGGCCCATCAAGGAATGTGGGGACATTTTGAATGGCTACTGCTGTATTTATACAAAATAACTACTTTTATTAGTACACTTCCTGTTTTTCCTCATTTAAACATATATTCATTATATCTTAGTGTAAATTGTGTTTTTTTTTTTTTTGCTCTAAACTGAACAACATCTTAAAGAAAAAGACAAACAATAACAAACATGTGGCTGCAAGGATTCTGGGCAAAGAAATCTAGAGTAAATTTAGATGACAGCTCCCTCTAGTGGTCATAAAAACAAACTACAATCAGATGGCCTGCTAAAATCCCCATAAACAAAATATAGAAAAATCTATTTACTTTAAGTCCCAAGTGCTGATCTTTATGTGCTTACTTTTAAAAGTTTTCCTCAAGCAGAGCACCCGCTAGGCAAGGCTGAATACAGGTCTTATCTTACCTCAGAAGCTTTTTTCCTGTTTTAGATATTTTGGTAATAACCTAGCCTTCCTTAGACTCAAGGTTATTTCAACAAATATGTCAGTTTTTTTGAGAAAATCTATGTGAGAAACTTTATATTCCGTCTGTGAGAATCCATCCCTGTGTGATTCGGAACAGGGAGGAATATTCCCAACATTGTATCTGTCCTTCCTTGCAAAGTATTTAATAAAATGTTTGCTTGAATGAGAAACAGTGGATCTCATTCGCTTGAGTGATAAAAATTAGACATTTTCTTTCCTTCAACAGTTGGAATTTGTCAGCAGGAATTTCTAGATGGATTTTTCTGGGAGCAGCTATGACAGAACGTTCTGATCAATGTGCCTCAGATATATTTTTGGGGATTTTAAATGAATATAGAGGTAGCAGTTTCTACTGGGGTAGAAATGGGTTTTCCACTCCAAAAAAAAGACCCTCCATAAGGGTAACATACTATAGGGGGATGGATGTAGGTATCGACAGAAGATATTTGATTTTACTCAGAAGTAATATAGAGAAAGGGATCCCCATCAATTATCCAAGTTGATTCCAGCGTGCGGGTGTGCATGTTGATTATGGGCAAATTACTTGTGGATAATGGGAAAAATTTGCAGTTCCAACTGAATGGAACAAGAGGCAAGGTTCCAAGAAATTATATCAGCCCCAGAGAGAAACGCATTTAAATTAGCCTGAGCCTAAAGGCAGCATTTAAACATTAATCTAAGTTATTAACATTGATATTAATGTATTTTTGTAGTGCTTTAAAGGAAAGAAAAACTCCAAACCTTTAATAAGAAATTAGTATCTCATAGCTAATAACTCAAAGGTATTAAAGTGTCACAGTTGGGTGGAAGTTTTTGAGGACCCAAATGGAGGGATCAGAAGCCAGAGATGAATGTTGTACATTTAATAATGGAATCAAAACAAAAATAAAAAAAATACGAAATACAAGAACCAGACCAGAAAACATCAGAAAAACTCATGTGGGAAGCCAGAGGTGGGGAAGCAACTAAACTACAGCAAGGAACCAGCCCTGAGTGACTGCAGAGGTGGAGTATATAAGGAGAACAGAACAAAGGATGGGCTAATAAGGGAAATATGGTGCAGGTGTGAGTGGAACTAAATAGAAGGAAGCCAAGGGGAAAGGAAACAAGCACAAGGGGGCAGCAGAGAGTAACTAAAGACTGCTACATATAATGGAAAATAAACCAAAGATCAACAAAGCAGAATAACTAAAAACTCAGAGTCCCAAACGGGGAGATCCATGACAGGGTAGGGCTTAAAATAACCTGAAATTAAAAGTCTTAAAAATTAGTAAATTGGATGAAGTGACCTAAAATTAAACCAAAAAGAAGGAATCAAAAGTGTGTTTCAAAACTGGATGAGAGGAAAAATAATACGGTAAATAATAATACGGTAAAGATGAACAACTTTATTTTAATAGTTTGAAACATCGGAAAACTTTTCCTTCCACTAAACTTTGTTTGCTTCCTGCCCTTTCATGTTTATTCCCTGATCTGAGTGGACCGCTTTTTCCATGCAGGATTCAGACCTGGAAGGGTTCCGGTCGACTGTATGTCAACCAGTATCAATACGGGCAAACGAGCAATGATTGGAGATAAACAACGGTTTAATTCAACATGTCATACACACAGTGACTAATTAGTGGGGTTAACAACGCTAACCATCAAGGTTAGGGGGCGGGGTTAACGCGAATCGAGTCTCTGTAATCGATTTGCTTCGCCTTAATGTGCAGGGTGACCAATCAGGTGTTAGATAACCGCCCCCTAACTTTGATGGGTGAGTTTGACAGATTCTTTTAATGGTTTCGATGCACTGAGACACAGGACCATGAAATAATTAAATGCACACTGAAATAATTATATATATTGTTTTAATATAATGAAGAGGTATTTTAATAAATTAATGACACATTTATATATTTAATTCCTTATTTATTTAATGAATTACACATTTAATTAATTGTTTATCGCTGTATTTATTTACTTAATTGTGGCACTTTATATTAGTGACGTGGTTTTAATTAATGAATGACACATTTATTTATTTAATTGTGGCACTTTTTATCCTCCATAGTTTAATACCACTTTATGTCTACTTTTAACAAAGTAATAGTATTATAACACACAAAAAAAAAAAAAAAGTTGGATTAGTCTGACATAGGCCCGTTAATAAACCGTGTGGGCCCTGCAGCTCCGTGGCGGAGCAGCTAGTGGTGCAGTTTCTTGTTTGGATCACTGGTGCCTGGATTTCATTCTCTGATTTTAGCTGCAGCTGTAAAATATTTTGTTTTTATGCTAAACTCAGAGGCAGCCCCTTTGTCATAGTCACACACATTTTTCGCTGCAAATTGGTGCATCTTCTCACAGACTCGCTCTGTGGAGCATGACTGAAGACCTTTTCAGAAATGTCTCAGGCGGAGGCGGTTCTCTGTATTCCTCCCCTCCTCTAAATGCAGCAAAGTGTCTGATAGACATGAAGGATGGAAAATAAAAACTAAAACAAAGTATAAATTACTAAGAAGAAAAGAAAATTTTGATGGTAATATAATCTTTTCTGTTTTGTTGCTTTTTTCCGCAGCGGTGGCAGAAATCCGGGACTCACTTGGAGCACATCGTCTCTCGGTTCTGCTTGGACTCGGAGATGGCCCTGGACGGCCTGGACTCGTCCCGCATGCTGGTCATCAGCCCCTGCGAACTGAGCGCGTACACACAGAGATGGGAGGTGCCCTTTTCGTGACCTTGTGATCCTTCACCTCCAAAGACCTGCTTCCATAAACCGACTCTCCACTTCAGAGAGCTTTGGCCGAGCCGTCCGACCTGCACAAACTGGAGGCGTGGGAACCATCACGGCACCGAGCTGAGGATCACCGCACAGGAAGATGACGAAGAGTACGGGTCAAAGGGCTGAAATTTGGTGAAACAAAAACAGCTGCAGGGGAGGAAAATACAGCAACAGATCAAATGCATGGAAATATGTGGGTTGGATTAAAGAGTCTGTTTGACTCAGAGTGAAACTAAGTGCACCTTAAAATCCAGACTGTCATCGTCGGGCGAAAACATTCGATTAGGAGGGAAAAGAATCCGACTTCTGTCATGTTTACCAAATATTTCAACAGCTTCAACAGTTCAGATGATGATAAAGTATATTCAGAATAGTTTCCTTTTATTTGCAAAGACTTTAAGTAAAAAATGGAAGGATATCAAAGCTGTTTTTAGCATTATTTGTTTTGTTTCCACTTTAAAATGATTCGAGGATGACCGGCTTCTTTCCTTCCATATTTCTTGATTTTTTTTTTTTTTCAGCTGAACCTATTTTTTACATTTTCAGTGTTGACAGTACCTATATTAAATATTACAATCATTCTGCATTAATGTTAATACCCAATATTGAAGCACTACGTGATCACAGCTGTTGGCTTTCAAGTCAAAATATTGATTTTGACTTTTTTTCAAACCAAATAATAGAATTGTTTCCTGTTTTCTTTTGCCTGAATGTTTTATATAAAAAAGGTTTTCATATTGTTTTCTTCTTTTCTGCAGAATTGTTTTGTTTATCTTTGAGAAATTTGTTGTTGATTCACTTAAAAAAATAAATATTCTTATGTTTACCCACAATAATTAGCAGCTGCAGATTTTAAGGTATTTTGGTGCTGAGGAGAATGAAGAGATGTAGACAGATTTGGGCGATAATTAAGGTGTTGATCCAGTCTTCTGTTAAAAAGGTGATTTGTTTCCTACCAAAAAAAAAAAGAAATGAAAAACAATCCACTGGGCTTTGTTTCCAAGTTGGAAGACGTTTCGCTTCACATCCAGGAAGCTTTTTCAATTCAAAATGTCAGAAATAGTGTTGAATTCGAGGTTTTATACAGTAGCCCAACAAAATCTTGTTTTTGTTTTGAAAAGATGCAAAAAGAAACGGATGAATGGGTCCAACCCTTTGGAATGGGGGTTATTTGTGGGGGTTATTTCAGAGACATAGACAGGTATGGGGCGTTGCAGGCTAATAAAAAAAAGCTAAATAACCCCCATTCCAAAGGGGTGGACCCATTCATCCGTTTCTTTTTGCATGTTTTCAAAACAAAAACAAGATTTTGTTGGGCTACTGTATAAAACCTCGAACTCAACACTATTCCTGACATTTTGAATTGAAAAAGCTTCCTGAAAGGGAAGCGAAACGTCTTCCAACTTGGAAATAAAGCCCAGTGGATTGTTCTTAATTTTCTTTGCTTGGATTGACAATGACCTGGATGACTGAGAATCTTCACCAGCAGATCTATTCCCTAATTGAGCCTTATTTAGTCATGAGATCAGAGGACAAAGAAAATTGCGGCCATGTTTGGTGAAGAAGGTGAAGTCAAGGAACCTGACTCCGCCAGATGGATTTGCTCCGCATATCCATCTGGAAACCTTCCGTTGAAGTAATTTTTAGAAGGGGCGAAAATACTGGTTAGCTGATTGGCCTATGTTGGTGATAGACGGGCCAAATAAACCAATCAGATCAACGAAGCATATGACGTACTAACAGAGCGACGACGAAAACACAACCACAAGCCAGGCTACTCTTGCCAAAACCAGTTGGGAGAAGAGCAAAAACATCTTTTCCTCTGAGAAAAGCCTCCAGAGCGGTGTTTTGCTCTTCTTTCAGTGAAGAAATACTCTGTAATTCCGATAAAACTTGCTCGATAGCCACGCTAACGCTAGTTTCATCGGCTGAAGCCGCCATGTTCTTTAGACTGAACTGTCGCGCTACTCGTTGCGTCACACCTCAACCCGCCTCAAAGCCAACACTGATTGGACGTTCGTTTGGTGAACGGCTACAAATTTTCTTTAACGGAGAGTCTCCAGACTGATCTGCGAGTGAAACCTTGAAAGCTTGCGAGATCAGGATGGTCTCATGAGGCTAGATCTATTCCCTAATCGAGCCTTATTTAGTCATGAGATCAGAGGACAAAGAAAATTGCCGCCATGGTTGGCGAAGAAGGTGAAGTCAAGGCATTGCTCCTATCAACAGAAGACCTCTCCTCTCTTTGTCCCACATTTAGAAAACCTCACTGGGATCAACATTTGGCATCAAAATGAACATATATCTGATGTTGATCCAGTGTCAAATCTAAAACTAAAAAAGGCAAAGCTGAGACAATCTGGTTTTATAAATATTCACACCCTAATACCATCCATCCATCCATCCATTTTCCGTTACGGTTATCCAAAGCGGGGTTGCGAGGGATGCTGGTGCCTATCTCCAGCTTTCTACGAGCGAGAGGCGGGTTCCACCCTGGACAGATCGCCAGTCCATTGCAGACCCTAACACTAATACCACTTAATTATGTTCTTCTTTGGTTTGAGCCTCATTAGCGTCCAACATCTGGATGATATTTGCTAAATCTACCCTGAAACTGTTCTAGAGATTATGCAGGTTTTAAAGACATTCCTTCTTCACGGACAACTCAAAGCATCGCCACATATTCTGTGTCAGATTGTGACTCCAAAACTTCCAAAACAACCATTTTTCCTCATGAATCAATATATTGTTTTCATTGAAAGGTTTGTTTTGATTTTCTGTGATGATTAAATATTGAATCCTTCTTCATCTGCAGTTTTCTCCCAGAGTCCTGAAGGTTTCGGGTTAAAACTGACTGAAATTTTAAGTTAAATGGAAATAAAAGTAACCCCAGAACATGACGCTGGCACCACCATGTTTTACAATGCTGTGCTTTTGACAAACTTTATTCTTCAAAAAGTGACCCGTAGAATTATAGCTAAAAGTTCAAATTTTGTATTATAATAATTATTATAATATACATCCACCCGTCTGTCCATCCATATGGATCTCTTGTACTCTTCTCCTGAATAATATCTTATAATTTTTATCCTTTTAACCTCTGAGAAAGAATTAAAAGAAGATTGGGATTTAATTATTTAAGTTACATAAGCTTTTTTTGCAAGTACCTTTTCTTGCTTTACAGGAAAAATCTGGAAAATGTTTCTTTTTTAATTGATTTTTACGATCTGCCCCGATAAATGGCTGACAGGAGAAAACATTAAACATTCTCTATTTCTGTTCAAATACATAATATCAGAAGAAATGACATGAAAGCAAGACGCCAGTTTCCTCCTCCTCTGTGAGCGTCTGCCGTGCTGCATGCCAGATATGTTTCCGCTTATTTCAGCTAAACATGCTTTAATTTTTGTTCTCATGTCAAAGTTACTACATTTAAATTGTAGGATTATTTGAAATAATGTAATTTTACTATTTTTATTCATTTTCAAAAAAAAAAAATCTGGTTTTGTTCTGGTCTCTTTGATAGAATCCCAGATGTAATTAAAAATTTTGCAGGTCAAACATCGGTCACCAACTAATGAGGCTAATAAGTTAATGGGAGTCAAACCTTCAACCCTCATGTTATCAGATTTTGTTCCTGTTTTCTGCTTTAGTATCTGCTGTCCTACTAAATGTTCTCTAATGTTTGTCCCTCCTTCACAGCTGTAACTAAGCACATCGCAGGTTTTACATCTGCGCCTGCGACATTTTGATATCCTCTCTGATTCCTGAATAAAGTTTTATAATGGCTGTTTTCATTTTCTTGAATTAACTGTGGCATGTCTGCAAACTGGGAACTTCAGCGCGTTCTTAAGCATCATCACAAATGGAGGCAGAGCAACCTGGAAGTTAAGAGGACAGAAAAAGGCTGAAACGATCATCCAAACTAGTCCACAACATTTATATAGGATTGCTTAATTCTATATATATATGTATATACAGAGATGGCAAAAGTACTCACTTTCCATACTTGAGTAAAAGTACAGATACTTGTGTTAAAAAATACTCTGGTAAAAGTGGAAGTACTGATTAAACTTCTTTACTCAAGTAAAAGTAACAAAGTACAGGCTTGTAAATTTACTTAAAGTATAAAACTAAAAGTAGAAACCACTTTTTTCATGCCGTTGCCTACATTTTAAATGGATGTCTGCCAATAGGACTAGATCTCCGTTGTGTTCATTTTCAATCATCTCGTCATCCATGCTACTATGCTAACGCCACCGCCACCAAGCTGCAATGATTTGCCGCCAATGAATACCGCCGAATCTGTTGATTCATCTTGTAGTGGTGCGTCAAATGCAACATAGATTCCCATCCAATTAGATTGAATTTGGTATTGATGACGTGAAAAATAATAACGGTAACTCCATTGAAATGATTCAAAACTAAAGTAACGAGCCAATTTTTTAAAATGTAAGGAGTAGAAAGTACAGATATTTGTATAAAAATGTAAGGAGTAGAAGTAAAAAGTCGCCATAAAAATAAGTAGTAAAGTAAAAATATCAGAAAAATCTACTTGAGTACAGTAACGAAGTATTTGTACTTCGTTACTTCCCATCTCTGTGTATATATATATATATATATATATATATATTTTTTTTTTTTTTTTTTTTATTACAGGCTGACATGTGCTCTAACCTGTTTCTGACACATAGAGGTTTAATGTAACTGTAGTGTTTTCTGCTTTTGCTGCCATCATAATGTCTTTATTTATTCTTTATATTTGTGATGGTTTCCTCTTAGAGTTGCCGAGTTTGATCAAGTTTTTCTGTGTAATATAAAGCCTTTATAAGAATGTTATTTTGATATAAATAAGAATTCTAAACAAATGACCCTTTTTGAATGTTTCTGCAGATTAAACTTGACCTTTAGTTTACAGTGTAAATAAGGAAGATGATCAGCTGCTGTAGTTTAATTAGATTAATCAGATTATACATAATCTTATTACTGCTGATGAATGCTTTTTGAAATATCCGTAGAATAAAGGTTAAAAAACCTTCAAATTTGAATAGCGCTTCTTAAAAAGGCCATTTTTCTCCTAAATTAAGCTTTCAGATTAGACTCTATCCCAGTCTGTTGAAAGGAGATATGCTGAGTACAAAGTACAGCACCTTCAATCAGTGATATTCCTGATAAACCTGTTTAAATACATTAACACTCCAACTACTGATTGCTCCGGTTCAAGCCGACTGAAATGACAAAATGACAAAGACTCAAAGACTGGATAGGTGTTGAAATGTCTTCAAATAACGGTTGCTGTCTGATTTAAGCCTGCTTTGTAATTCAGCACTTAGCTTTACTCACTAACAGCTACCCAATAATTTATACTGGAAAATTCATATATGGAATGTTAGGAAGCCTTTTGTGTAATTTTATATTATTTTTAGAGAGATTACTAAAAATAAAATAATGTAAAGGACCAGTCCTATCAAGATTTCTTTTTTAAATGTTACACCTGTGTAAATATTATCTTGATAATTGAAACCAGACTCTCTTATTGACATAATCCTCTCCGTTTATCTGGGCTTGGGACCAGCACTAGGAGCACATTAAGACTGGGGACCCCTTGTGGCAGGATTGTTATGTCTGTGTCCTCTTACCCACCTATCCAACAGGGGACCACATTTTAAGGTCCCCTCTTGGTCTAAATCTGTTAGAAAGCATCAGGACATTTTTTTTTTTACTTTTGCCAAGAGGGGACATGAGTGTGTGGAGTAGATATTCAACAGTGCCCCCAGCAGGTTGGGTCAGGAATCTTAACGCCCCATTCAGACACGTATGGAGGACCAACTCTGCCGAATTTAAAATCTAATCCCGCTGGTTTAACCTCTCCATATCCTTCCGCCCTCGCTCTCGGAACGTCAAACCGAATGCCCTCTCACGCCTCCACACCTCTTAGTTTTCTGCCCATCCAGGAATAAGTCGAACTGTTTCATCATCTCCTCATTGAGGAGCGTGGCTGAGGGAGGTGAATGTAAGGAGACCAGGTGGTTTTTTCCACGCATCACCATCGCTGTTAATCTGTGACTCCATGCGTGCCCATCTCACAGCCGATGTGAAAAACATAGTGAAACAAATGAACGCTGTGCTTGCTGTTATTCCGGGAGGTCTGACAAAGGAACTTCAACCGCTCGACATCGGTGTGAACCGGCCGTTAAGGCTGCTTTCACAGCGGACGCAGCAGGTGCAGCAGAAGCAGCGAGTTTACATGCAAAGTCAATGGTTGACGCGCGTCAAGGCGCAGCAAAAGGTCCCGCAGAGCGTTTTGAGCAGCAGGCACAGCGCGTCGGGAGCGTTTAAGCATCTGACCCGCATGTCGCGCCGCAAACGTGCTGCTGCTCGAGATGGAAAAAGTAAAGTTTTGCTGCTGGACGCGCCGCATCAACCAATCAGAGAAGCTGATCTGGGAGCTGGCAGAGAGAGAGACACATCGCTGATGACACAGAGCGCTGTGATCACTCCTCTGAAACAGTTTATAAACGCCTAAATTAACTTAAAAATGCTGAAATCTGCCGACAGAATATGTTCGCTTTTATTATCCTGGTGCCTGCAGTTTAGATTATTTAGATGAAAAACACCTACCAGCCGCCGCGGTGAACCGCGAGGAGGCGACCCGGCCAGAGGCTGCTGTTGAATTAAGATTTCAGGTGGATTTTCCCACTTAAAAACATATTAAAACTACTTTATTCCCACTGATCACAGCAAATATAGCTGCAAGGCAAAGAAAGGATAGGATAGCTCCGCCCAACGTGCGTCAGACACACTTTTGCACCGCGCAGCAAAGCTGCTTCAGCTGCGCATCAGAACTAACTGGTGCAATCTAAACTGCAGGCACCAGGATAATAAAAGCGAACATATTCTGCCGGCAGATTTCTGCATTTTAAGTTAATTTATGCGTCAATAAACTGTTTCAGAGGAGTGATCACAGCACTCTGTGTGATCATCGATGTGTCTGTCTCACGGCCAGCTCCCAGGTTTGATTAATACTTTGTAATAAATACATGAATAAAGCACCATCATACTCAGTTTTGCTCCCGCTCAGTAGAGGTATTTAAACGTAGTAGAGGACATGTACCGGTATATAAAAAACGCGCCCTATAGTCCGGTGCACCTTATGTGTGTGTTAAATACAGAAATGGCACACATAACTGAGACTGCACCTTTTAGTACGGTGCGCCTTATGGTCGTGAAAATACGGTACCATTGAGCGTTTCTCCAAGGCCTGCCATCTAGTTCCACTGAGGAAACTCCCTACAGCTTTGCAAACTGGCCAACTCCTGGTCAAGCATGTTTTTCGCCTCCATGGGGAACCCACAAGACATACTGTCTGACCTCGGCCCTCTATTCATCTCTCAGGTATGGAAGAGTTTTTGTTTGGCTCCTGGGGCCAAGGTCTCACTCACTTCCGGTTACCATCCTCAATCCAATGGTCAGGTTGAACGCATGAATCAGGATTTGGAGGCCAGTCTCAGATGTCTCTGCTTCAGATCCCACAGAGTGTCTTTTAATGAGATTTTTTTTTTTTTTTTTTTTTTACAGAGTGGCGGAAACGGGCTTCCATACTCATGCCCCCTGATCTAGGTCTAAAAAAAAAATTTTTTCACTTTGAAACGTTTTTACCCATCATTACCAGGGGTGGCAGTACTTGCGATGGGTGCTTTTATTTATTCTTTCTTTCTTTTCTTCTATAGGCTACTCATTTGAACTTATTTGCGTTTGCAGCAGGATCTCTGCGATGGGGGAAGAAGTTTAACCAACAGTCAGCCTTCCTGCAGGCTGATGCTCAGTCATTTTAAGTTGAGGCGGGGTGATTTTACACACAGAGTACAGTATGTACAGACGCCCCCCTGCTCCCAGGGTCCATTTCACCCGCTCATCGAATCATTAACCCGAACCTGGCTTCCTCGCCTTGGATTTTAAACACCGTAAACAACATAATATGCCGCTGGGTAAAAGCTGACATTTTCTCTTTACGAGCCGCTTTTAACCGCATCCCTGATTTCCAGAGGAGACAGACGCCTTTTTACGTAAGTACAGTGACCTTTTCTTCTTTCTACCACCATTCTTTGCTCGGCTACTTTGAAAAAAAAATCTATCTTATTACTATTATTTTATTTTCAAAAAACGCAACGGTACCAAAATTTTCGACAGTCACAGCGCGTTTTTCTGTTTAGAGCACCGTGATATTTCCAGTCGCTTCACTGGACTGGAAGTCAAATAGTTGTTTCCAGTCGGTTCCTTTTTCAGGTAGTACCGCTAATGACGTAGTTCACTCTAGTTATGAGGCTGTATGGATCAAAGCTAGCTAAAGACTGAAATGGACTACAACTCCCACTTTTTTAGAAGTTGAGAAGCCATGATACCTTCACGGAACTTGATAACTTTGCAATCGTTGCAGCGCAGTTTATGAGTTGTATTTTTTTCTTTGTTTTAACTCCATGCACAATCATCGGAATAATCGGGATTTCAGGTACAAATAAATGTTTTTTAATCGTTAAACGCTGTCTAAAAGTCATTGCGTAACATTTTTAAACGTTGTTTGAAATAAGTCGTACTCTGCATATTTCAAGCTAGCGTTTTATTTGTCGAATTCGGAAACGATCGACCTTTTTTATGTGTAATTGAAGGCACCACGGCTTTTCTTGCGTCATATTTTAGGGACACTTAGTGGGGACTGGTTTTGGTTTTGATTGTAAGGAAATTAACCTCGAAAATGTACTTTTTTGAAGTTGTATCTGAATGTACTTGAGGCCCAGCATAGAACATGGAACTTCCTCCCCTCAGAACAGGTATGCTAAAAATCAGCTAGCTGTTTGGAGACTAACGGTTCTCGTTAAATGAGGTTCAAGCTAGCCAAACATCTGTTAGCCCGCTGTTTCATTCGGTTATATGCTCTTTTTTACTTGATAATTGCACTGATCCAATGTTTTATAATCATGCAAGTGAAAGTTTAACACGACTTAAAGTTATATTTTTGCTTGCATTTAGATTTTTTTTATTTAAACTAAAATAAAATACGACCAAACTAATGCATTCTTTGGTTAGTCGTCAGGGAGAAATTCCTAAATTTGTCCTGATCTGCTCTTTTCACTGATTGCGTGTCTAATATTATTAAACAATATCTATTTCCTGTTAGTTCACTTTATTCAAAGTAAAAATTCTTACAATTTCCAGTGCATGAAAGCACCAATCACATGCATGGGTGTTTTTAAGCATTTTCTTCGGGTTTAACAATGATACTTTGGACACACTTTTATGGAAATATTTTGTTTTCTAATATTTATCCCCACTTATCCTAGCAGAGTTCTGGACCATCTAATTAGAGAATTGATTAAAGGGAATCATTAGCTATATAAACTTAAATATTCAGCACTAAATATCAGCCTTTATGAGGCTTTTTGTTTGTTTAGTTTAGTTTACAGTGAAATAGTAATCAGAATCACTAAGTTGAATTTTGGATTTTATGCTGAAGGCAATTTGTCAGGGACGTATTAAACCATTGAATAGTTTAGGTTTTGATCTATTATATCTTATAAAGGAGATTTGCAGACAAAAGATCCAAAAAACTTCAGTAAGAAATCAGAATTGAATAATGTGATTAATCACCTTTTAAGTTTTTTTTTCCTTGTTACAAATCCACTGAATAAGGTTAATGAAGGCCACATGATTCAGTAGGTAAAGGTGAAGCTGAACAATAGCTGATAACTGGAACTTATCTTATTTACTGTATTGTAGTCTTTCTTAATTTACTACTACATCCTTTGTGCCTGCCACAAAAACACACACTATGTTGTAATGTTGATATCATGTAGCATTTAGGCTAAAATGTTAAATCTGTATCAAATCCCAGCAGGGACAGTATTTCCTTTTTGTTTACTGTGTTGTTTTGTTGTCTCAATGTGGTATTATTAATATTTCTCAATTGGAAAGTTCTCATTTCTTCCCGTTGGCATGATGGATCGTGTTTTCTGTGTTCCATTGATCAGGGCTTCTTACATACTCGTGATTAGCTGATTGATATCAGCTGTTCTGAAACCAAAACTCCTGAATATCCATCCATCTTCCGTTATGCTTATCCCAAGCGGGGTGGCGAGGGCTGCTGGTGCCCATCTCCAGCTATCTACGTGCGATAGGCAGGGTACACCCTGGACAGGTCGCCAGTCCATCGCAGGGCAACACAGAGACAAACAGGACAAACGCCCATTCACGCACACACTCACACCTAAGGAGGATTTAGAGAAACCAATTTACCTAAAGGGTTGGTTATCCTCCCGCAGCAATGTGTCACAGTTAGCTTGTCGCAGGTATGAGGTCTGTGCTATGTTATTCCAAGGCACGACAAAAGAGGGACAATCAGGAACTAGCTGTGGGTCTAGATATGGCCGAGTCGGTGAAGAAGTGGGGGCAAGTTTGTCCGACAACGGAGGGACATGAGGATCAAAAAGAGCGGGAATCCAGGTGGAAAAAGGGTCCCAGCGTTCTCGCGCACCTCGCTCTTCTAGCTGGTCCATCTTCACGAGTTGTTTTCCACAATGGCGGTCATACAAACAAAACGATAAGGTACCAGACAGGAAATAGGCGTAGAGGAGATGAATATTTGATGGATCAGAGGCCTCCTGTCACCTACAATTTGGGAAAGGTGCAGCAATGTGTCTGCAGACACACGCAGACAACCTGGTTTCGAAGTATAAATTAGCTTTAACCGTCAGGTTTTTGGACTGTGGGAGGAAAACAACCCATGCATGCTCAGGGAGACCACAGGCTGGGAGTCAAACCCAGAACCTTCTTGCTGCAGGGCAGCAGTGCTACCCACTGTACTGCCGATCAACCGCTCCTAAATATCACAAAGCTGAAATACTCAGGATAACCTCTCTATACTCAAAATAGTCGAATTCCACTTTCTGAAACGGGTCTCTGGTGTTTTTTTAAAACAGAAATTTGTTTTTTTTTTCTACCCTGCTTTGTTGTGATTAGAACTGCTGTAATATTTGCCAATTTGTCATCAGTTATTAGAAATTAGATTAAGTTTGTATTTCGGAGATGTTAAGTCAACTGTTTTGATGAATTTTCTCCATAAAACAAAAGATTTAGGCCCCAACGGGAATTGAACTCGTGACCCCTGGTTTACAAGACCAGTGCTCTAACCACTGAGCTATAGGGCCTTAGTTGTCAGAGCTACGGACAGACTGCAATTTAAATGCCATCATTCGCCTGGCACGCCCCTTCATTGTCTGATTCCAGTCTTGCCAGTTGAGTTTCTGCAGGACTTGTGTCTAAAAGTCTTATGCTTCAGGTTTGAAATGACTCTGTCTTTTCTCCCCTCCAGCCCTCTCATGTTTCTTCGCCGGCTGACCTACTTCAGGTCCTCCTATCATCCCAGAGGGTGTCGGGCCTTCTCCAACCAACCATCCACCCCTGCTTCTCATCTATGCCGGTCAGTCCAAAGGTTTCCACCCTGGCGTCCTCGACTGCCCCCTCCTCGTCCACCGGATCACCCAATCTTCACTGGTAGCACGTTCCACCCTTTTACCATCCCGCCCGGTCGCTTCAGCGCTGCTGGTCTGCAGTCCCTCCACACCTCTGTTGGTCTCATGATGGAGCGTCCTAACAGAGAGCCTCCCAACAAACGGAGGAAAAGTGTAGAGGAGGGGAGATGCGGTGAAGAAAAGGATACAGGAGGGAGGGAAACGAGGAGCAAAGCAAAGGAGAGGGAGTCTAAGCAGGAACACCATCATCTGCATTTTAGAGGGGATGACAGGAAACCAGAAAATCAGTTTGTTAGAATCAGAGATAAACCGAAATCTGAACAAGAGAGAGTTTGTTGGAGGGAAAGCAGCAGGGAGAAGGCTGATGAAAGGACTAAAGGGGAGAGGAAAGGTAGCAGAGATGAAAGTCTGAATCAACGCTCCCAACCTGTACACTCCAGAAACCCTCCCCACAAATCCACGGCTCAGCAGGATCCCGTTCCTGTGCAAAGATCCAACCCCTGGTTCAAAGGCCGGTCTGCTGAGGAGCTGGGTCGCCTTCAGGGAAAGCAAACCGGTTCAGCAGAACATCAGATGGTTGGAGGTGTCGGTCCAGAGGGATGGCCAGAGCTTCCATCCCAGCCTTCCAATCAAGCTCCAAACCGGTGGCAACCAGAAAGACCAGCAGTCAGATGTAGGTTTTGTCTTTTTCTATCAGGAAAATGTGTTATTTAGAAATGTATCCCCATGAAAATAGACTTTTTTTTATTTATATTAGTTTGTTGAATGGTCCTTAGGTTTTTGCAGAGAGTTGTTTCATATTTTTTCATGACAATCAGGAGAACCGACGAGCTAAACGGGGAGTATAACCAGCACTTAAGAGGCCGCACACTTGTTTGGGAACTTCTTTCTCAATAATTTTAGATAAGAAAGGAAGATTTGATTTAGTCTTGATACCAAGCTGCTCTTGTATGACAAAGAAAAAATGTTTTTTATCAGAAATTCTGCTTCAGTTCCTGCTTGTATTTAAAGACTTTGTCTCATACATCACCTGGTAAATGAAATAAACTCTCCTTTTGGCTTTAGGTCTTCGGAGACAGTGGGAGACCTGCAGTACAGAGCCACGGCCACCAGGGGACAGCAGAGTGTTTGACTTCTCAGTGATGTCCTACAACATCTTGTCTCAGGAGCTTCTGCAGGATAACGCCTATCTGTACCGACACTGCGACCCTACCGTGCTGCCCTGGCAGTACCGACTACCCAACCTGCTGGCTGAGATCCAAAAGTACAACGCTGATGTGAGTCCAACAGTTATACACCTAAAAGTTATGAAAGATCTAGACAAATAAAAAGGAATAAATAGATTATTTAGGCCCCAACGAGATTCGAACTCGTGACCCCTGGTTTACAAGACCAGTGCTCTAACCACTGAGCTATAGGGCCTGACCTGCCCGAAACAGTGTAACACCTGTAATATAAACATGGACACACCTCATTCTCTTACTGCACTGATTCCAGTCCAGCCAGTTGATCTTCTGCAGGATTCCTGTCTATGATTAAGGACTGAACGGCCGTGTAGCTCATCCCTGTGTTTTCAATTGAACAATTTAATCTTAGAACTATTATGAACTGTCAACAGATTTCAATATGTCAGTCTAGTGTGTATCTCCAGGTGTATAGTTATCATTAAACGAAATGTCAGTTTATTTCGAATAGTAAATAAATAAATATTAAGCCAAGATTCGAACTGTGACTGTTTATACATGCTTAACCCCAGCTTGTAGTTTCAAGAAGTATAAAACATAATTATCCAAACAAACTCTGAGCATCTTGCTGAGTGTTGCTTTCAATGATGACGCTGTACCGCTCTTATCATGTGTCAGTTGATGTATACATCCTATACAGCTTAACTTATAGTCCACTGGATTTCATTTGTTTCACTAACTTATATGGCCAATAGTTCTCCGTGAACGAAACTCACTTCTCATAACCTAAACCTACTTGCCTTGTCTTGCATATGATCCTCAATGCGATCAATGCTTTATTCCTAATTAGGCAAAATATGAAAAATCAGTTCACCCTTTGAAGGATCGGAAACTATTCATGAAGTTATTTGGGAAAAGCTGTTAGAGTTTATGGAAAATAAAATCACCCACTTCACTGCAAGTCAGGAAACTACACACAAATTGTGTTTGATTCCTGCTCATTAAAACAATTATTGCTTATCTTTGGATAACAGTATATTCACATAATTTCTTCCATTGCTATACTTTCTGTGGCGTGACAAAATTAGTTTGAATCATTGAAGAAGCAAATATCCAGGACATGGATAAAAAGCATCTTTTTTTTTCTCTCCCACTTTTTGCGGTAAAGGCCATCTATAAACCAGATCAAAGTACGCTATAAATGTGTAAATTTATGTTCCCCGTTGATGCATCAGAAAATTGTTGATTAAACAACCCCGTATGTCTTTTTCCAAAACCATGTCTGTCCTAAAGCGTTCATACCTCAGACGAATGGAGCAGATTTTAGAACCATGCATTGGCTAATGCCATCGTCAAATGCGAATATACCGTTTCCTAATTTAATAATGAACGACTAATGAGAGCCTTCTCGTCACGTTTAATAAAACCGTAAATCTTCTAATACTGAGTCCAGAAATGATTCCCAAAGAGAGTCAACCAAGATCGTATTTAATTTGACCTTGTCCTATTTTTCAAAATTATATATCATCACTTCTTCATCAACTACAATTTACTTGCGAGTTGGAGTCATTTCAGAAATAGTAGATTTTTTTATTTTTTCGATTGAGCTTAATGAAAAAATGACTGAATAGCAACTGAGAATTGAAGATCGTAGTCACCACTTCATTCTTACCTACCAGCTTAGACAGAGAGCAATAGGGCCTCAGCTTAAAAATAAAGACAAAAAAATTTCATTAACAAATTTCTGAGACCAAAACCTATATTTGGTGTTTGTTGCCATGATGAGGATTTCACCTTTCTTACGACATTTGTTATCAGTTATGTATTTAGCAGATTTACATTAAGTTAGGTCGCCATTGGATTTATTTTTTTTTCAGTAAAAATCTTATATTGGCATTAAAAAGTTAGTTTGGCAGGAACAGAAAATTTGTAAGTTCTCAAAATTAGATTTTAGCTGCATATTGATTAATCGTTAGACTCAGATCAAATCTAAAATCATTCAGGATTTCAAATGCTTTATTCTCAAATAAAGAAAAGCAGGAAAAATAATCTGCACCAGCTCTGTCAGAAGGAAAATCGGAAACTAATTTAAAATGGAAAAGGGTTAATTTATGAGAGGAGAAAGTCGGTGTCACTGATTGCACTTTTTCCAATGGATCACCAATTTTAGAAAACCCATTTTCTTATTGCAAAGGTTAGGAAAAAAATCTACAACTACTAAACCTTTATTTTATTTCTCTCTGCAACTTCAAATTCACAATTATGATGCTTAAATCTTTAGGATTCAAAAGGATTTCCACATAAACGTTCCTCCCCAGTGGTGCTATACCTGTTTCCTGTGGGCGTGACACCAGCCAGACCAGTTAGCTCTCTGAATCTTTCGACAGGAAGTCAAGCTGTACCTCACAGAGAGCGAGTGGATAAAAGTCTTTTTTTTTCTCTCCCAGATTCTGTGTCTGCAGGAGGTCCAAGAGGACCACTATGAGAACCAGATCAAGCCAGCACTACACGCTTTAGGTACCAATTCCTGTCCAGTCTTAATAAATGCATTTAAAATGTATCCCTCTTGATGCAGTAAGAGGTATTTAAAAACCAAAGCACAGTACAAATACCAGCTGCTTTCCTTTCAAACGATAAAACCAAGCATTTCTGCTGAGAAAGCGTTCATACCTGCAGGGAAGAAGGAGCAGTTTTTTAGCAACATCATGCATTTGGCTTAATGTTCCAGTCATCAGAATATGCAACTTATACCGTGTTTTTCCTAATTTAATTAACTAGACTCGTTTTCCACTAATGATGAGCCTCTCAGGTCCACATTATAAGCCGTTTATAATCTTCTATTGTTATAAATGAGTCCGTGAAATCATCCCAAAGAGAGCACCAAGCATTGCAGCTACTTTTTACATTTTCAGACCCTTAGATAACCTTATTTTTTAACCAAAACATTCACCAAAATAATCAATCAATCAACTTTATCATCAACTACAATTTACATTGCAATTGAGATTTCAGTTTCAGTAAAAAAGTAGATTTTACTATTCATTTATTTCGATATATTGAGCATTTAATGAAATGAACATGAACTGAATAAGAACTGAGACCTATGATGAAGATGCTCATCATCCATACATTCATTCTGTGACCTACCAGCAGTGAAGACAGAGAGAAATATGGCCATCAATAAATAATAAAGATAAATAAAAAGGCTTTTATTAATCTAAATTTTCCGCTAATCCAAAAGACCAGCTATAAAAATTTTGGTTTTGTTGCCATATATGGGAATTTTACCTATTAACTACACATTTGTCTCATTTATTATTTATTTATCAGATTTAATTAAGGTTGGGTGCCACTAATGGATGTTTTTTTTTTTCTCTCCGAAGTGAAAAATCTTGAAAATATGGGAGAAAAATATTGTTTGGGAAAAAAAATTTCTGTTTTTTTTAGACGTTCCTCAATCAATTATTTATACTGATCAATAATTGAATAAAATCCTTAGATCAATATAAAAATTTAAAAAATGTACATTTTCAGGATTCCTGCGGGTCCTTAAAAAGTCTTAAAAGGCATTGATTTCTTCAAAATAAAACTAAGGCCTTAACTGGTATTAAAATATCTTAAATCAGTCTTTCGTAGGTCTTAATCTTTAAAACATCATAAATAGGATTGTTTTTATTACAGTTTATTTTTGTAATCTAAATAAAACGTTAAAATTGACAATTTTTTGTTTGTTTAAAAAAAAAAAATAACAGCTCGCCATTATTGGTTCCGTCCCGATAGCGGATCCAATAAAAGCGTTGTTGCGGCCGGGACATTCGGGAGATGCACCGTTAACTTTTTGTTTGGACGATATGAGCAAGTGTAAATGTAAGCAAAATTGTCTCCAGCCAAGAGTTTTCTCCATGGCTAAAACCAGGGAACATACATGAGGCTCAGTGGATTTTGTGCAAGAAGCGATTCAAGCTCGGAACGATGGGAATTAAGGCAGTGGAGTCGCACATGCGAAGCACGAAACACAAAGCGTCAAAATCGAGTTACTGAGAAACAGCCGGTATTTCTCAGTTTAGTTCCACCCTTGTCTCTGCAACGCCTCCACTTATCACCAAATCAAACATACTAAGAAAACCATACAAAGAAAAATAGCTGCAAAAAAGACTTAGCACTGGTTATGTTGTGGCTTTAAAACTGATTTGTTTTGTTCCCTGCTAAAACAAAGTTAGTGAATTCAGTTAAATAATTGTTCAAATAAATCTGTCATTTGTGTGTTTTTAGCTTTCTTCCTGTATGGGAAGCTTTTCAAAATATGAAACATTAGTTCAGTGGTTTATGTTAGAATAAACCTTTGGGTAAAGTTGTCGCAAGCTGGTTTTTCTTGGGTTTCTTGTGAATTTGGTCTTAAATTTTTATTTCAAGTGGCATTAAAAAGTCTTAAAAAGTCTTGAATTTAACTTGACTTAAGCTGTAGGGACCCTGATTTAATTAATGTTTATTTTCGGGTTTGACACATCAGTTTTAGATTTTAAATATAAGTTAAAACTAAAACTGAAACATTTGGCTAAAATAAGAAGCTTTATCTTTAATTTAAGGAGAACGTTCCTCCTTTTCGGCAGATTTCTTTGCTGTGATCCGATTTCTTCTATTCAATTCAATTCAGTTTATTTCTATAGCGCCAATTCACATTCAGATCAAATCAAGTTTCTCTTTATGAATGAAACCTTTTGGCCAAAGTAAAATCTGCATCCTTCTCCTTGGAACAAAAGGAGGTTTTAGACGGTAATTATATAACGATGGTGCGTTGGTGTTTGTACCTCCTAAACATTGAACAGGAAGTGACGTTAAGACTGCGACGCTGTGTTCCAGGTTACCAGTGTGAATATAAGAAGCGGACAGGAAAGAAACCGGATGGCTGCGCCGTCATCTTCAAAACCTCCCGCTTCTCCCTTCTCTCCTCCACCCCGGTGGAGTTCTACCGGCCCGGCGACGCCCTCCTGGACCGGGACAACGTGGGAATGGTGGTCCTGCTGCAGCCCAGCGGCGCCGCCGTCCAGTCCGATCCATCCCCCTTTGTGTGCGTGGCCAACACTCACCTCCTCTACAACCCCCGCCGCGGTGACATCAAACTGGCTCAGCTGGCCATCCTATTGGCTGAGATCGGCCGACTGTCCCGCCTCCCTGACGGCTCTAGCAACCCGGTGGTTCTGTGCGGGGATTTCAACTCTGCACCGTGGAGTCCGCTGTACCGGTTCCTGACCACGGGCTGTCTGGAGTACCAAGGAATGCAGATCGGACTGGTGAGGGAGGCGCCGCCGCTACTGAAACGGTCTTTTTAGATCAGATGTCAAAGTTACGGCAGGTTTCCATGTGGAGAAATAGGAAGATTTTTGTTTTTCACGTTTGAATATTAAAATTTTTAGTGTCCGGAAGCGTTTGGAGAATAACGCTTAAAATTAGAAGCTTTGTTCCTGTGTTTCTGAAGGTGTCGGGTCAGGAAACCAGCCCCAAAGGTCAGCGCGTCCTGACGTCTCCCATCTGGTCTCGCAGTCTGGGAATCAGTCAGCAGTGCCAGTATGAGAGCAGACAGGCGAAGGCGCCTTCTCCAAGCAGCCCCACAGGTTCAGCTCGCTGCAAAGATCCATTAGTCTCATTCTAATCTGAACGTAGCATCAGGTTAAAGTGCGTTTTCCCTCATCGCCGCCGTCTCTGCCTTTCAGCTGTAGATGGAGGAATGTCTAACCTGACCGTAGACGATCCGGCCTCCAGAGCCTCTGCTGAATTCAACAGGTAACTGTCATTTTCTTCAGATAAACTATAAAAAATACACCCAATCCTTAACATATGCTCTCTGCTGATCCGTTTGAACTTGCAGCTCAAGGATTGAGCATAAATTAAGGCTGCAGTCGTCCTATGGGCACCGCCTGATGCCCGACGGGCGACCTGAGATCACCACCTGTCATTCACGCACAGCCCTGACGGTAGATTACATCCTCTACAGCTCAGGTACTACAAATCATTTTCTTGGTGGCTTCCTACTTCTGATGTCACATGACTACGGCTGCCCAATCAGAAAAATCCGCAGCATTATGCAGTCAGCATAGAGAAAACTTTAACCAATGATAAACCCCCCAGTTCTTTAGTTGCAGTGCTGAAGTGTGTCCTCCAGGAGGAGCTCCAGAGCAGAATTAATTCAGTGATCAGTTACTGGATTCATAATCTAAAGATCTGACAGCATTAGATACATTCAAATGAGCCTTTTTTTAACCTCTTACACCCTAAGGGGGTATAAATAAATTTCTGCCTGACAAAAACACACAAAAGTAAATAACTTATAGCCTCAAAGCTATTAGATTTAAGAAGAAACTTTTGGTACATCTGTAAAGGTAAGATGTCATAGAATGGTTTTCTGGTGTCAGCACCATTGTAGCTTTGACCCTGCCTGAAATATTAGGGACAAAATACAAAATATTTTGCATTTTTTGAACCTCGCCAAAATTTTCTTTGAAATAAACATTGCAAAACACTACCAAAATATTATTTATAGCACAAAAAAGTAGTACAGACTTTTAAATCTAAATGTTGTGTAAAAATATACAAAATGTGGACTCAATCAGATGAATCATATTTATTTTAGAATGGTATTAGTGAGAAATTTCTTAGGCGGAGGGGCCAGTTTGGCACATTTATCCATAAATGTCACCAAACTGTGCCAAATATGTTTTTTACATCAATACTGGGGGTTTGGTAAAGTTACGAGGTCATGTAGCAGCTGGACCCGCCGGCGGGTCCGTAGGGTTCTAGGGGTTAAGGTCATCTTTATTCAAATTGGGCTCACAAGTATAGAAATACAAGCACACAAAAACGTAATATTTTTTTAACTTGTTTTTCCTGCTGTTTTTATTTTTTATTTTGCAGTGCTTTGGTTCTATTCAGGAAACTATCGACTCTTTGAAAGGTTTTAAATATACTGATAATATTAATATTCCAAAAAAGGTAAAAAAAAAATATAACAACAATCCACTGGACTTTATTTCCACCCAGGAAGCTTTTTGATATCAAAATGTCAGAAATAGAGTTAAGTTTGTGACTTTATAGAGTGAACCAAAAATAAAGCCTTGTTTTGGCTTAGAAAACATGCAAATTGAACCTGACGAACAGGTCCGCCCCTCGTTTGGGTTCTTTGTTAGCCTGTAATACCCGATACCTGTCTATGTCTCTGAACACTGGAAAAACAATCTAGAAATAAGTAAAACTTTCCTAAATTAAGTGTATTCACCCTTAATTTGCGAAGGTAAATGAGATAGTTTGCCAATGGAATGAGTCATTTTACTCTTACAATAAGATAATTAGATAATATGCACTTGAAATAAGACAATACAATAGTGTTTTCTTATTTTAAGTGTAAATTGTCTTGTTCCATTGGCAGAATGTCTCTTTTACCTCCTCAATTCAAGAACAAATGCACTTATTTTATGAAAAAACTGACTAGTCTAGATTTAGATTTTTTGCAGTGAAAGAGGGACGTTGGAGGGAATTGTTGGCCTGGCTGAACTGGCGAAGTGTTCTGTTCCCCTGTGAGGGGGTGAGGTGATGATAGCAGGAAGGGATCAACTCAATTGCTAAATTGTAGGTTTTTGAAAGCTGAAATCTGATCAGAATGTTCACATTTTGGACAAAGAAAATACGTGGTTAGAGAGGGGCGTGAAGAAAACATCTACCGTACGTATGTTAAAAAAGAAAAAAACAAGCTTTAACAGAGGGGGTGGACTCTGATTTCAGCTTTCAAAAACCTACAATGCAGCAATAGAGTTGCTCCCAACTCCCACCACCTTACAGGGTAATGGAAGACCTCGCCTGTTCAGCCAGGCCAACGATTTGCTCTGACGACCCCCCTTTTAGAGACATAGACGGGTATCAGGTATTGTAGGCTAACAAAGGAAACCAAATGACCTCCATTCTAAAGGGGAGGACCCGTTCGTCTGATACAATTTGCATGTTTTCTAAGCTACAACAAGGCTTTGTTTTTGGTCCACTCTTTAAAGCCTTGAACTCAACGCTATTTCTGACATTTTAAATTGAAAAAGCTTCCTGGATGGGAAGAGAAACGTCTTCAAACATTCACACTGCAGGCCTTGATGCTCAATTCCGATTTTTTTTGTGTTGCCGTTCATATTTCCAAATACATGCGACTTGTATGTGATCTCCTGTGTGAAACGCAATTGTCCCGCATGCGCAGTAGAGGACGCAATGACATCACAGGCCAGCGTGCTCTATGTTTACATCTAGCGATCTTTCCCAACCATAAACACACAATCTTTTCAAGATTGTTAAACATAAATAATGCTCTCCGCATCATCGTCCGCCATGGTTGTTGTTTTTCTTGCCTCTTCTTCATATTAAGACCCAGAATAGGGACCTTTGTCGGGTATTAATGGCGTTCAGGTCGGATCAATGCGACCTGGCCGTTTAGACAGGTTGCATTTGAAAAGATCAGATTTGTATCGGATTCAGGACCACATAACCAAATGGCCTGGGTCGCATTGGAAAATATCGGATCTGTGTTGTTCAGACAGTCGTGAAAAGATCAGATCCAGGTCGCATACGGGCCAAAAATTCTGATTTGGGTCACTTTAGGCAGCAATGTGAACGTAGCCTAAATCTAGCGGTTTGTGATTTAACTTTTTTTTTAATGACTATGACCTGGATGACTGAGAATCTTCACCAGAACATTCATAATAATACTTTTATAAATAGAAATCTTATTTTAATAAAATAAAGTAATAAAGCTCAGTTTGAATATGTCTTTCTGAATATGTTTTTTTCTTCTCTGAGTTCTCAGTAACAGTGTCGTTCTCCTGTTCTTCCTGAAAGATGTAAATGCAACCCCTTCACTTCCTGGTGGGCGTGGCCTCCAACTGCTGGGCAGGTTGTCATTGGTTGGACAGTCGGAGCTGGAGGAAGTCAGCGGTCTGCCAAACGGGCAACACTCCTCCGACCATCTTCCTCTTCTCGCCCGCTTTCGGCTGCGCTGCTGATGTTTGTGGACCCGGTCCGTCACATGGTGCCAGCAGAACCACAGAGGGGAAATTTAGTTAAATTTTATTTTATTTTTTTGAGGAATTGAATTCTGGCAGCTGGAAATGAAGGAGGAATTAAATTAGAAGTAACCCCAAGAAATTAAAATGGTTGACTACTTGAGTGTTCAATATTTTTAAAAGTTTTATTTTAACATCTGAATCATAAAAATTATACAGAAGATGTAAAAAAAAAAAGCTTATTGCTGCAGATGGCAGCTAATGCTGTATATTTAATGTGGGATTTGCACAAAGAATCTGCGAAGGGAAGTTAAATTAAGAGCTTATTTAGAGATTTGAACATGTTTGGACAAGATCAACCCTAAAACTCTTTAAATTAAGATTTTAAATCTTAGTTTAAAAAGCAGCAATAAACAGCATCAGACACAAACCATCAGATTTCACGTCTCTTTTTCTTACAGCTCTGGACAGCATGTCAACATGTTTGGATTAATAAACATCAACTTTTCTATTAATCTTTTTTTTTTTTCTTAAATTTGATATTTGGTTTATTATTCAATAATTCCTGCCAGCCAGCATGGAGATGCTTAATGTTTAGAGTCTGGTTTTATTCAATGGTTTTCTTTTATTTAACAGATGATTTATAAACGAGTTTTAAACAGGTTTGCTGCTGATGAATAACAGGAATTATTCAGGGGAATGTTTGTGTTTGAACAGCTTTATTATTGTGCCAAAACTTAAAAAAAAATCTCCTTTTTCATTTTTTTTTATTGGTTTGAATAATTTTTATCTCCCGAAAAAAAGGAAATTCTGCATCTCTGTGTTTAGAAAATTGGAATAAATGTTAAACAAAGTTCCATTTATGTAAGGGTTAAAATTATTCTATTTTAATGCTGTTCTTCATCACTGAAGGAATATAAACTACAGATTGTTTGGACCATGTGTATTTTTCTACTCCTTTGTTTGCCTTTGTGGGGAAGTTTACAGTTTGTACATAAATAAATTTGTATTTTTACACCCGGCTGCTGTTTATTTGGTTGGATGGTTTGGTAGGATCGCTGTTTTCTCATCACACGCTGACCCGTCTGGTTTTTCCAGAGGAAACATTTATTAAAAATATATATATATCTTTAAATATCTTCAACTCAGAAACTTCATAAGAACGAATCAAAATAATATTTTGAAGCCTGCCATCTCAACTTTAGAAAAAGTTAACAAAGGACAGTTTGAAGAAAGTTATAACAGAGTTTTATAACTTAATGATGTTACAAATTTCAGAAGGATCTCATAATAGACTTAAGGCTTGGAAAGAAGATTTATTGATTGTGTTAAGAGAGGAAGATTGACAGACAGCATGTAAATTGGTAACCTGACTCCTCCAGATGGATATGTGGAGCAAATCCATCTGGAAACCGTCGGTTGAAGTAATTTTGGGAAAGGGCGAAAATACTGGTTAGCTGATTGGCCTATGTTGGTGATAGACGGGCCAAATAAACCAATCAGATCAACGAAGCATATGACGTACTAACAGAGCTACGACGAAGAGGAGCCAAATGATAGATCAAACTCTTGCCGAGACCAGTCAGGAGAAGAGCAAAAACATCTTTTCCTCTGAGAAAAGCCTCCAGAGCAGTCTTTTGCTCTTCTTTCAGTGAAGAAATACTCTGTAATTCCGATAAAACTTGCTCGATAGCCACGCTAACGCTAGTTTCATCGGCTGAAGCCGCCATGTTCTTTAGACTGAACTGTCGCGCTTCTCGTTGCGTCACACCTCAACCCGCCTCAAAGCCAACGCTGATTGGACGTTCGTTTGGTGAACGGCTCCAGATGTTCTTCAATGGAGAGTCTCCAGACTGATTAGCGAGTGAAATCTTGAAAGCTCACGAGATCTCTTAAAATGATTCAATATAAATGGCTAATGCGAATTTACATAACACCAGTAGACCTCAATAGGTATAACAGGGAGATACCTGATCTATGTCCAAAATGCACAGAGGGTAGAGGGACTGCGGTTCATTGTATGTGGCATTGCGAAGAAATTATACAGTTTTGGAAAGAAGTACAAGGTACTATAGAAAACATCATTTCTAAACAGTTAATTTTTGAACCAAGGCTGTTTGTGTTTAACCTGACAACAGCCAGATGCATTCCTATGGCGGGTTCCCAGATGTATGTGAGTGGAGCTAGGCGGAGCGAGACATGCATCTGGCTGTTGTCAGGTTAGTTTGTGTTTGGATTATTCCCTGAAAAACATATTTACACAAAAAATGAACGATTGTTTATAAACTTAAGTTTGCATATTGCGAAGAAATGTATATCTATATTTTGGAAAACGACTCACAGGCCGAGAATAAACCAATGGCTGCAGCAGATGTTACCTGTCCTCCCTCTGGAAAAAAAAATCATGTATATATTAAAGGACAAACAGGACCTGTTTGAATCTATTTGGAACTCCTTCATTAATCATGTTAAGACGTTTTTTAAGCCATTGGAGGACAAATACTGTCAAATTTAATTCTCATTATAAGAGGCTAAGCATGAAAAGTGATCAGTCGCATTGGAGTAAATTTTGTGTGAGGCAATTTGTTCTCTGTATTTTATTTTGACTTGAACAGTAACGCAAACATTGCTATATTCTGTATATTGTTCAAGATGTTTGTTTAAATTGCTAAAATTTGAATAAATATATTTTTTTGGGGGGGAAAAAAGGATTATTGCAATTTTAATTAAATAAAAAAATCATATTAATTTGCTGATGAAAGATTTCAACTTAATGAATCTTATGAAGAACAAAAAAATATGACTAAATGTATTTTTAAGGCTAAAGTTCTATTAGAAATTTCTAAAATCTATCAATCACGTTCCCTCCTTTACTAATTTTAGACCCACTTTCTTCTTTTCTGTCACTTAAACAGCTCAGATTTGGATCCTCTTTCCTTTTAATTATATATTTTGATTCTCTGCAGCTTATATTAAATAAATTCTTTAGCTTTTAAATATTTATTTTCTGTAAAATAGTTTAACCTGAACTGAGACTTTTTCCTGCATCCTGACCTTATAGGGAATCATGTTTGTCATTGATGTTTTCTCTGCTATTTGGTTTAATTAAACTATACAGTGAGACACTTTTCTTCATCCTGCTTGAGACGAATGTTTGCATGTTTTCCATCGGTGATGCTGCGTTCTCAGCTCTCATTCCTATTGGTATTCAGTCCATCGCTCTGCAGCACTGCAGCAAAAACCATCAGCTGCATCTAAGCAGCTTTAAATAACTGCTTATTAAACACAAGCTGGTTTCTAAATATTTTGCCTGAACATGTTTGTGGAACTGTTATGTCTTTCCTAGAATATTTCTGGGTTTTAATCCCAGTACTTTCCCTACTGTTAAATGCTTCTTTATTCTCACTAAATGGATATCTGACTTTAACTTGATTATATGATATTTACAGTAATCACATTTGGCCTGAATATTTTACTGCAGAAATGTCTGCACAGAGATCTGTTCACAACACTTTTTAGTTGTTAATATCATGGCCACTAGATGGCAGCAAAGGGCTTACTTGTTCAAATTTATATTTTTAAATATATTCAGTCAATTACAAAATGGAAAATAGCTAAAATATGCAGAAGAAAAGTTTAAGGAGAAATAAAGGGATTCTAAAAATTATATTATTCTTTATAACCAATGGAAAACCATGCATTTTCTTTAAAATAAAAAAAGTTAAATAAATGGGATAGATTGAAATAAAATGGGATAAAAATAAGTAAACAAAAAATACAAGAAAAACATACAACTAAACACATAAGAGTAATTTAGAGCCACCAATTAACTTTACAGTGATGTTTTTTGAAGCCAAAATATGCAGAAGTATCCTAAGTTGGGGATTGAAACCTGCAGCTTTGCTACAGATTTCCAGTCCTCCATGAACAAAGTGACATCACACTCAGCTGACAGGCAGCTAGGTAAAACTCCCCTTCCTCTAAATCCTTAAACTGGAGCAGAGATGAGAATTAAAGGATTACTTGTAAAAATCTGCGGCGTCCATGAGCCTCCATGAAACTCGCTCACATCTGCAGTTTGACATAAGCTGATTATATTATCAGAAGCCAGGACATCATGCAGCGTTTTTAGACTGAATATTCCCCCCATTTGTTCAACAAAGGTTTGCTGCTTCAAATAAAACATGTAGATATATTTTATGGAGGACTTTCCTCCCAAAATAAGATGATTTGGATCCATTTGTGGCTTTTAAGCTTTTTATGATCACATAATATTATTTACAAGGCAAATGGGGAACATATATATAATCAGTGTTTACATCAAATATTAACCTTTACAACAAACAAATGTCAAAAAATCCTACAGGTTAAAACTCTTTTCAGACCTGCAGGGATCCTGGATGGAGGAAAGGTCACTCCTTATGATTCTCTCTGCAGTTTGGATCTTTAGTTAAACTCCACAGAGATACATAAACAGATTGAATGATTGTGGTGTAGAAAATAATCAGCTTTGGTAGAGCGTTGAGTTCCTGCAGGACCTCCTAACTCTCCCTAGGAACCATGAGGTCAACAGTACAAAAAACAATCCAGGGTAGGAAAGGAACCTCGGACTGTTTTGCTGAATCCTAATCAGATTAGGACTACAGCCTTCTGGAGAAAAGAACTACAAATAGGAACGTTAGAGAACGGCTAAAGCTCTCCATTACAAAACCCAAAACAGTCACAGACACACGTGAAGAAACTCCATGAGGTGGGCTCTGTCAAATCATCCTGTTATGCAAAGGATTATGGGAAACTGTATAGCTCCTATACAGCTGATAGGAATGTCCGCTTTCTGCGCTAAATGATAGGAAGCATCCTGCTTCCTTTTCCTACATCCTTCCTTACTGACATCACTTTCACTTTATCCTTTACTTCTTTGTATTTCTCTGAATCTGCCACAGAGACGTTCAACTTGTTGACTAATCCTCGTCTCTCATTCAACCAGACTGCAGGTCTGTCATCTAAAAACCTCAGCAGGCGAGAGAACACAGCTGCAGGGAATCCCACTTTTTCCTTCCACCAAACTAAAAGAAGATTCTCGGCAGCTAATTTAAAAAGGATGTTTTGTGTTTCAAATCTGTCCATAAGCCTTAATAGGGCAAGTTAGCGTTTATGATCACTTGCATACCCCTTAAAAACAGATTCCCCCCTCCAATCCCTAAGTGAGGTCTAGAAGCACAAGATCTATAACCAGCCATTCAGCAAAGATATTGCATCTTATTTTGGTATTTGGGACTGCTCAGTGGAACAGTGGGTAGCACTGCTGCCTTGCAGCAAGAAGGCTCTGGGTTTGATTCCCGGCCTGGTGTCTTTCTGCATGGAGTTTGCATGTTCTCCCTGAGCATGCATCGGTTCTCTCTGGGTACTCTGGCTTCCTCCCACTGTCCAAAATCACGATTGTCTGGTTAATTGTCTTCTCTAAAGTGTGTGAATGGGTGTCTCCATGGTGTACCCCACTTCTCACCCGTAGACAGCTGGAGATAGGCACCGGCACGCCTTGTGACCCCACTTTGCATAAAGAGTGTCAGAAAATGGATTTTGGTATCTGACCAATTAGATGAGCCCATGAATGATATATTTCCTACTGTAAATTCAGTTGGAAAAAAAGGTAAAAAGCTGAATGAAAAGTTAAAAAGGTAAGGTTAAAAGTTAATTAGCTAAGTTAAAAATGTAAGTTTCGGTATCATCTTTAAGGGCGTTTTTTAAATTAATTTCTTATAGAAGCACTTTTGTTATTTTTCTTAATGGGCAAGTTGGAGTTTCTTATTACGTTCATACGTTTTGCCATCAAAATATCCATATTTTTTGAATGTTACAAAGGTAGTAATGTCTTGTACTGGATTCAAATAAAACTTTTGTCTTGAAATTTTGATTTTCAAAGTGCCGTATAAAGGGTTAAATGTGTAACATATCAATAATTAAGCATTTTTGTATTTTTTTTTATTTATCTTATATAAACATTGGTAATTTTCAAAATAAACTAAAACTTTGTATTATCACCAAGACATCCAAACTAATGCTATAAATAAAAGCATAATTTAATGATTCTATATAAGTTTCATTTTTATAATGAATTATTATTATTCAATAATTCCTACCAGCCAGCATGGAGATGGTTGATCTTTAGGGTCTGATTTTATTCAAGGATTTTCTTTTATTTAACAGATGATTTATAAGAGTTTGAACAGGTTTGCTGCTGATGAATAACAGGAATTATTCAGGGGAAACTTTGTGCTTGAAGAGCTTTGTTATTGTGCCAAAACTACCGGTAAGAAAATCATTTTTTTCATTGGTTTAAATTATTTTTATTCCTTGAAAAATAGGAAATTCTGCATCTCTGTGTTTAGAAAATTGGAATAAATGTTGAACAAAGTTCCATTTATGTAAGGGTTAAAATTATTCTATTTTTAATGCTGTTCTATATCAGTAAAGGAATATAAACTACAGATTGTTTGGACCATGTGTATTTTTCTACTCCTTTGTTTGCCTTTGTGGGGAAGTTTACAGTTTGTACATAAATAAATTTGTTTTTGAGTTCAGGCAGATATTTTATTAACTCCATAAAGAATCTAAGAAAGTTTAACGAATCATTTTCAGATTAAAATTACATTTTCTAAAACTTCTGACAAAAAGAGCAACACCAGCTGAAAAACATAGATTTCTTTTTTATTAAAACAACACATGCTGCTACAGTCGTGGATAAAAACTGCTGATGTAACAGTAGGAGAGTAACAATGATAAATCACCAGGTTTCACATTTTAGCTCATTTATCTCCACAGAATAAAAAAAAAACAAAAAAAAAACAGCAGAGGTAACTCAGGAAAAACAGGCAGAAAGATTTTCATTCGGCCGAACTTCAGCTGTGTTTGATTATATCTAGAAACCGTTGGAATACTGTTTAGGGTGAGAGGTTTATTTCTACACACGCATGCAAACGTCTGGAACTGGAAGGCTGCTTCTCCTCTCCTTCTCTGTAGCACCGTCTCCACAATCAGGCAAGAAGCAGAAGAAGCAGAAGTTGATGGATTTCAGAGCAAATTCAAAGTCAAAAAACAAACTAATCAACTAAATAACAGCAATACTTGGAGTAAACATGGAAAAAAGTCAACTTGATCCTTTAATTTAACTGCTGAGGCACTAATAAAGCTGTTTATTCATTGTCCTCCAATCTAACACTAAAAGCATCTGGATATGATGGAGTTTGACTCGATAAATAATGATTCTTTAATTACGTGCAGCTGTGCACCTTTAGAAGAAGCAGCCTGGTTTGGTCAAAGGATCTCATGTTTTACAGCTTATAGAAGTTATGCAACCGTATATTATAATAAAACATGGGTGGGGGGGTCAGTCCATTGGAACAGCAGGAGCCGAGTCGGTTTCAGCACTTTAAAACAAATCAAAGGCTTCATATGAAACGATCGCTGCAACAGCAGAGAGTTTCATATCTAACAAATGTTTCATTCAAAATCAGTACAATCAAAACAAACATCTTAATGAAACAGACTTTTGAGTCAAACAAAACATTCAGAGGAACTTTGATGTATAAACTTTGTTCTGTTGGTTCCTCCTGAAAAGTAAGGGTTGAACTTTCTAACGACATATTTTCCGTGTGCTTCTGGATTCCAACAAACGTGATGTTTTAAAAAAAATAAAAAAGTCCCGACAGACAAACTTCGGTACAAACGGATGACTTAGAGCCGCTGGTTTCGATTCTGGTCCAAACATCAGAGATATGTTAAAGTTTCTCAGCTGCTAACAGCACCGTGGATCTGCTGATCACAGTTTGCGTTCAGGAGAATCCTTCTGGAAGCTTCCTGCTTTCGGAGAAGCTGCGGAGATGCAGGAACCACAAAGATTCGGAGTGGAAGACGAAGATTTCAGCCTTTTTTTTTGTTGGTTTTCTTTCTGCAAACTCAGCTTGTGCATAGCTCATTGTTACACAAACAGCTACCTTTAAATGGCGACTAAACGCAATGATTCTGATGGAAAAACGTTTGCAGGAAACATTACAATCAAATTATGCAAACATAAAGCAGACTGTATGTGAGCATGTGTGAATATAAGGATAGAAAAAAGGCTTTAAAAAATAAAATCCTGGAAATTCACATTAGAGAGAAAAGAAATCTGAATTTCATGTAGTTTGTCGAAAAAAAGGAATCAAATACAAATAAAAATCAAATTTTCGTTATAAATATCAGCAAAGTCAAGAGAAAAACTAAGTGCATCCTGGTATGGAGGGAATTTTGTTCCAGTATTGGAAAGAAAGAAAATGTTTTATAAATGAAAATTAGTTAAAAAGAAAAAAATGCATTCCAGAAAATAACTTTGATTATAACTTTTCTGTTTTCTTACATTTCTTTTTCATGTTTTCTTTCCTTTTTTCCAATTATTATTTTTTTCCTTACAGATTTAATCTTTTACATTTTAGATTGAGTTTTAGAAATGTAATCAAGCTTAAAGTAAAGAAAATGCGATTAGGAAAACTCAGTCTGAAAAAAAATTAGAAAAAAAAAGAATATATAAAACCTTTAAAATAGTAAAGTAAAAGAAAAGCTCAAAATGGAAAGAAATTGTTGAAAAATATAATCTAAGAAAAAGCATAAATATCACCCAAAACTTTATTATTAAGAAGTTATTCAAAGTTTTCATTTCTAGAGTACATTTTCCATCTTTTATTTTCAAAACAATTTCCAAAATTCCCGCCATACTTTTTCTACCAGCCGGATTTAAAAGCTGCCAGGAGCTTCTAATGAGACAAAGCTGAACATCAGCCCCTTTAAAAGCTCCAGTCTGTAGCTTTAACACAACACTAAAGCAGAAAGTAATCAACAACGACCTCAGAAAAATACTTATCTGTCCGGAAACTTATTTAGGACATTTTTTAACTTCAGTCTTTAATTTAACAAAGAATATTACCATGAAGTGTGTCGTCTCTAAGAAACCAGCATCTAATTTTAAATGCTCAGAGAACCAAGAGCTCCTTGGATTTAAATCTGAAAGACCGAAGCCTTCCATCTAAAAACAAAATGGCTGAAGGGCTTCGGTAAGCAAGAATCATCGTTCAGATCAGACCAAAACAGGAATATTTGGCCATAAAGTTCAAGTTCACCAATATGCATGGAGAAAACTAAACAGCCCAGCAGATAACACCAAGCACGGTGTTGGCGGGGTGAAGATCAGGGCATGTTGAGCCAACAGTGGCTCATAAAGATGAACCTGATCTGCTGAAGGTGTTTCTATAAGCTGGTAGTTTAAGTTAACTTAGTTTTTCCCAAGACTTTCCTGACAAAGAGCTGCTGGTTAAAGTCAGGCAGGAGCGTTTGAGTGAAAAATACAGAGATTTTCCATGTTTGGTGTAAAATAATACAGAAAAACATTTGATTACAGGTTTCCTTATCTGCTGATGAAAGGCAGAAGAATCCAAACAGCCAATCAGATTCCAGCCTGACCGGATCATTCAGACTGGATTCACGCCCAGCTGCTCCGGGAGCTTCTTATTTCTTTGACTTCCTCCTTCCAGAGGATCTAAACCTGTAATGATCTTTAAATTAAAACAGAAGGGATACGGTTCCATGTGTTCTAAATGGGCGAGTTGAAAAGGCGCTGACCCTTACACCATAATAAGGCTTTAGTTAAAGTCGTGTCACTTCCTGTTTCTCTGCAGCAGATTCCTTCTATATCCCAGCAGTCTGTGGGTTTGCTGCTGCTGTTATTTGTTTCTCTGCAGCATTAGTCAGGATGTCTGAGAGGCTTTTATCCACTTTTGACTCACATGAAGAACTTTTAAAGGTCTGAGGATGTAACCATGTTGGGGTTGAACATAGAAAGCTTGTTTTTTTTCTTATTTTTGCAGGAGGTGAAGATGAAAACCTTTGCCAGGTTAAACCTGTGCTGTGATGCTATCATCCCTCTATCACTCCCTCTGCTTCTCTCATTCCTCCCTTTTCTTCTTCCTCGTGCTATTTTGTTCTAGATTGCCTTTGCATCCTAAGTTGTTCCGATGCGACCTGAGCCGCATCATCTGGACCGCCGTTCGCTCAGAGCAGCTTTGGATTTCCTCATCTGACCGCTTCATCTCTGAGCTTTGCTAAATCTTTAAATTTTTGGTCGTTCTGCTGAAGCAATAGTTTAAATCTGCTAACAAATCATCCGTCATGGTGGAAAACTCACAGGAAGATTGAGGAACTTGTGAAATCCAGGAAAAAGAAATTAGTTTTTTTATAGTGTTGAGTGAGCCTTGAACACCTCCCCTTAAAGAAATGACTAAGTGTGGTTAGAATCCTATAATCAGTGTAACTGTGCTGTTTGCACCAGGTTACTTCCACCTGGTGGCAGTTATAGACCCTTGGCTGAGAAAAGGATGGATGGGGGGTGGGGGGGCATCAGATGCGGATCTGGTAACCGTCGCTGAGGGTGCTGAGCTCCAGAGGTTTCCTCTCCACTGAGGCCGGCCTGAAAGGAAACCAGACGAAGCAGATTAACTCCAGCTGTTTGTTGAAGTGATGCTAAATGACCTGAAACTGTTCAGCTGATAAACCCTTTTCTTAACTCTACTTATTGAGAAGAACTTCTGGTAACTTCAGAAGGAGAGACAGCAGCAGAATTTATGCCCCGCCCTTCTCTGACTGAGAATAGGTGGGAGCGTCTCCCAACCTTCAGACAACGGACTCCAGGTGAAGATGTTCAGTCACAGAGCAGCAATGAGCTCTGTGAGGGTGGCTGATGAAAACATTGCAGGGAAGTTTGCTCCAAGGAGAAGGAGGCGGTAAGAGCCACAAACTGTTTGCAGCGTGGAACGATTATAGATTAACTTCATGTTTCCAAGTTTGAAGATGTTTCGCTTCCCATCCAGGAAGCTTTTTCAATTCAAAATGTCAGAAATAGCGTTGAGTTTGTGTCTTTATAGAGTGGACCAAAAATAAAGCTTGTTGTGGCTTAGAAAACATGCAAATTAAAGGTATAATATGCAACCGGTGTTGATTTTCCAGTGAGGCTCCCCCCAGAGGGCGAAAGTAAAAGTGCACTGTCATAAATATGCTCAGCTGTTCTCCTGGTTTCTCCGTCAAGTCAAGCGCGGTTGTTTTGAGCTTAGCAGACAGGCGAACGCAACCAATCACCATGTCTACTGCGGTAAGTGACTATTTTGTTCCAATTTTCGAGTTTGAAAATTTAGCATGTTTTCATACATTATTTTCTCGCTGGTTCCGCCATGATAACTGCACAATTATCGCCACTGCCCTAGCAACGAGCATGCCTTTCACTGGGGGCGTGTAGCAGTTCTCGCCGTGAAGCAAGACCGACTCTCGGGATGCACGAGACTTCTGAGCCTGTGGGTGCGGGCCGAGGGCTCCTGCAATTACAAGTACTGTATTTCCCCTACAGACCACCACGGCGGCCGAGAAAACCTTTGTTTGACCTGAAATGACTCATTTAATCATCCAAAACGTTATGGAACACATTAATTAACTGAAAAATGTTGCATAGTGTGCCCTTAGGAATAGGGATTGTTTGGGTTCTTTGTTAGCATGCAATACCTGATACCTGTCTATGTCTCTGAAATTGGGCCGTTAGAGGGAATTGCTGGCCTGGCTGAACAGGCGAGGTCTTCTGTTCCCCTGTAAGGTGGTGGGAGTTGCAATGATAGTGGGAAGGAATCAACTCTATTACTGCATTCTAGGTTTTTGAAAGCTAATATGAGTCCACCACCTCTGTTTAAGGTTGGTTTTTCTTTTTTAACATAGATGGCTTCCTTCACGCCCCTCTCAAACCACCTGTCTTCATTGTCCAAAATGTGAACATTCTGGTCCTCAAAAGAATGTCCTTTGTCCATAAGGTGTAGATATAACACAGGTTGCTCTTCTGTGGTGGGCCATTCGTCTGTGGAGAAGTTGTTTGGTTTCTCCAATATAAAGATCAGAGCATTACTTACTGCATTGCCAAAACAAGGCTTTGTTTTTGGTCCACTCTATAAAACCAGGAACTCAACGCTATTTCTGACATTTTGAATTTAAAAAGTTTCCTGGAGGGGAAGAGAAACGTCTTAAAACTTGGAAACACAGTCCAGTGGATTGTTTTTTTTTTTTTTTTACTTTTTTTGGAATGACTATGACCTGGATGACTGAGAATCTTCACAAGTTATGAAATGTTAAAAAATTATTTGTTTAAAATGTGTGTTTAAGAAAAAGTAAATAACTACTGGAATGTAAAAATGATCACTGTCAAAGAGCCTTTTTGATTCTCTGGTCCTCCAGTCTAACATCTTCCTTTTCTCTCTCTGCCTCCATCTCAGATTCTCTCACCAGTCGTTCTGGTTCAAAGGAACTTCTGAAAACAGTTTGAGGTTTACAGAAATTGGATTGGATTTTTAATCTCTAACAATCGTTGTGCTCCTAATGAGTCGTTGTGAAATGCATGAACTCTGACTGAAGCTGTTGTTGAAGATGTTTCCCAGAAGCTGATGAAGAGCGCTCAGCTGTTCCAGCCTGCAGCATGATAACATTGAGGCTGCTGGAGTGGCAACATATTGTTAAGTAAGTGCTCTGTTGATAACACTAATGGCTTTTTAAGTATCACTTTTTAGTGGTTTAAAGTTTTAATGTGCTGCAGCACAAGACTGCAGTGGGAGGAGAGTTTAACTGCTCCCTGCAGGAGGTGGAAGTGGATTCATGTGGCGTTTGCACATGTTGGAACATCTGATCCAATTAAAAAAAAGTTTAAAACGTCTGTTTTCAGACTTTTATCAGACTCTGAATGTGCAGCTCAGCTCTGCCTTTTTTTCCAGGATTTTTTTTATTGTTTCATAAATTGGAAATGGAAACATGTTTTTATCCTCCTGTACAAGTTTGAAAGAAAATAAATCTTTGATTATGCGATTTAAAGGCAGGAAGGCTGACTCTTCTTAATAGTTACTGAGCTTTGAGGCGTTTTCTTGCTTTGGTTCAGATGAAACAAGGTAAAGGTTACATTACATCATCAAACCTGTAATAATCGACAAAAAGTATAAAGTGAATTTGATTGATTGCTGGTTGGCTTTATCGATCTCACAGAGGAGACATTTACTCGTTATATCAGCTAAAATAGTCAAAGAAGAAGATTCTGCCAAAGGAAGAAAAAAGGTGCATGGGATATATACAGTTTAAACATCGCATCCACATATGACAGCTTCGTTTTGTTTTTTATCGTAGGATCATTATACAGGGTTATTGCACCATGTGTTTACATGTGTATTTATTGGATGGATATCTACACTCACCGGCCACTTTATTAGGTACACCTGTCCAACTGCTCGTTAACACTTATTTTCTAAGCAGCCAATCACATGGCGGCAACTCAGTGCATTTAGGCATGTAGACATGGTCAAGACAATCTCCTGCAGTTCAAACCGAGCATCAGTATGGGGAAGAAAGGTGATTTGAGTGACTTTGAACGTGGCATGATTGTTGGTTCCAGAAGGGCTGGTCTGAGTATTTCAGAAACTGCTGATCTACTGGGATTTTCACGCACAACCATCTCTAGGGTTTACAGAGAATGGTCCGAAAAAGAAAAAACATCCAGTGAGCGGCAGTTCTGTGGGCGGAAATGCCTTGTTGATGCCAGAGGTCAGAGGAGAATGACCAGACTGGTTTGAGCTGATAGAAGGGCAACAGTGACTCAAATAACCACCCGTTACAACCAAGGTGGGCAGAAGAGCATCTCTGAACGCACAGTACGTCGAACTTTGAGGCAGATGGGCTACAGCAGCAGAAGACCACACTGGGTGCCACTCCTTTCAGCTAAGAACAGGAAACTGAGGCTACAATTTTCACAAGCTCATTGAAATTGGACAATAGAAGATTGGAAAAACGTTGCCTGGTCTGATGAGTCTCGATTTCTGCTGCGACATTCGGATGGCAGGGTCAGAATTTGGCGTCTACAACATGAAAGCATGGATCCATCCTGCCTTGTATCAACGGTTCAGGCTGGTGGTGGTGGTGTCATGGTGTGGGGAATATTTTCTTGGCACTCTTTGGGCCCCTTGGTACCAATTGAGCATCGTTGCAATGCCACAGCCTACCTGAGTATTGTTGCTGACCATGTCCATCCCTTTATGACCACAATGTTTCCCCTACTTCTGATGGTTACTTTCAGCAGGATAATGCGCCATGTCATAAAGCTGGAATCATCTCAGACTGGTTTCTTGAACATGACAATGAGTTCACTGTACTCAAATGGCCTCCACAGTCACCAGATCTCAATCCAATAGAGCATCTTTGGGATGTGGTGGAACGGGAGATTCGCATCATGGATGTGCAGCCGACAAATCTGCGGCAACTGTGTGATGCCATCATGTCAATATGGACCAAACTCCCTGAGGAATGCTTCCAGCACCTTGTTGAATCTATGCCACCAAGAATTGAGGCAGTTCTGAAGGCAAAAGGGGGTCCAACCCGTTACTAGCATGGGGTACCTAATAAAGTGGCCGGTGAGTGTATATCTATAGTTATTGCACAGGGTATCGAATAGTAAATTGCACATTATACATTACACAAGTTATTGCCGTTGTGTCGCACTGTGTTGTATTTTTTCCATTATATTTTAAAGAACGTGTTTTATAAAAGGAACTTTGAAAACAATACAATCTAGAAATGAAACTGATATATTTTTAATATAGTAACTTTGCTGTATTTTTAGTATAAAAAAATACATATATACACACACATACATATACACACACAAATACACACATATACACACCCACCCACACACACATACATATTAGGGGTGTAAATAATAATCGTTTTGTATCGATGCATCGATCCAACAGCCGACGATCCGATGCATCGATACGTCCGCAAGAGAATCGATTCATGTTTTTTTTTCTTCCGGTTTATTTTTATCCATTTGCTCCTGGGCGTAATTCTCCCTCCCGTGCTGCGGTGGCGCTAAACCTATTTTGCCCTCCTACCTCGCTTCCTGGTTATACTCTTACAGCAGTGTGTTGCAGTGAGCCTGACACAGAAATTTTTTGATTTACGCTCAGTATTGAAGCGTGGTCTGTGCTACACGCTGTAGGTCTAGATACGGACGAGGCGGCGAGGAAGTGGGGGCGAGTTTAGTCCGACAACGGAGGGACATGAGAGCCAAAAAGAGCGGAGATCCAGGTGGAAAAAGGGTCACCTCGCTCTTCTTCCACAATTTCGGTCGTAAAAACAAACCAAGACGGCCTCCTGTCTGCTGCACTGTCTGCGGTCAGCTACAATTTGGGAGAGGCGCAGCGGAGCGTCTGTGGAGGGGGCGGGGACGTCTGGAGCCGAGGTATTGCATTAAACTCATTGCACTGATTTTGTGCAGTATTTTTTGATGCAAAGCCTTTAAGAATCTATAACGCAGGGGTATTATTGTTTTTCAGTGATTTTAATGATCTGTCAAAGATTAGGCAGATTGACGCGTTCATGGATCAAACAAAATGTTGAATTTTCCAGCTTTAATGCATTTAATGAACAGAAAAAAAAGATTTTTCTAAATTGAATTAAAGCCAATTATTTCCTGGTTTCTGTACTTCAAAACCTTTAGATTTCAGGTTTCTGCTCACTTCCTCCAATGTCCTGTAACTGGTTTCCTCACTTTTAATTCCAACATGCTTTTTATGGTCCTATGCAGACATTAGACAGAGAAGAAGTAAAAAAATGACTTTCTAAAGGAGCCAGGAGAAACATTCCCAGGTATGTTAAAGTGTTTTTGAAAGTGAACTGAAATCATAAGGAAGGATGTGGTTCAGTTTGACGTTGGCCGCCCAGCCACATGGTAACGGCGGGTCAGTAACTAATTCTGGCGCTGCCCGTCTCTGTGAGCTGCAGCTGTCGTCCCGGTCAGATTGTGTTACATCCCGTCACACAGCTGACAGACACACAAACACGCTCAGCATCGTTCATGTCAGCCTCAGTCCTAATGACCTGCAGGCAGGACAAATCCGGCTCTTTTTACAGTGATACTGTTGGTGTTTAAAACAGAAAGGTATTTAGGACAAGTGTGATTAAAACTGGATAATAATCTTTACAGGAAGAGTTTAATTAGACAACTGGCAGTAGATTTTATTAACACACTGATTTAGCTGTGCTGTGTGTTCTAGAACTGAAGACACTCCATCACAGTGACCGTGCTGCTGGGTTTGTCTCCTTGGTGATAATGCTGAGCTACCCGTCAGTCTCACCTAATTTGAGATGATCTCTCATGAGTGTTGGTGCCTCTGAGGCTTAGCGTCGAGCTAACAGGAAGACGTCAGATCTCTGAAGACCTTCACACACAGTAGACAGGCTGAACTCTGCCTGAACCGAACAGGCAGAGAGGGCAGAAGGGAACAGAGGGAGCCGGGTTTGGGGTTTAACTCCCGGAGTGGGATCCTTTCACAGGCGTCTTTAGTTCGGATATTTTTTTAACTCCTGAACAGCTTGTTGAAGACACAAAACATTCACTTACGATTTGTCTCTGCGGTGTGCGCTCCGTCGCTGAGGGCTGCTCTGCCGTCGCCGTGGTGACAGCGACTTTCCTCGGCTGCGCTCCTTGATTGGCGACTGAGCACTGGAGGATTTTAGGATCTGGAAAAATTATATAAAAAAAAAAAAAGTTATTGCATCTTTCTAACCTGTCTGAAATACTGACATATCTATATTATCTGCAGAGCATTTTTATAACACAGTAATTTACATAGGGTCCAGTGGCCTTTATCTGTATTATTAGTTATTGAAAGGAAATTGGAGAAGAGAGAGAGGAAAGATATGCTGCGAAGGTCAGTAAGCAAGGCGGCTGCTTGACCCCTAAACAACCACCGTTCCCAATAACTCAGTGGTTTTAGTACTTGATTGTTATTGTCTCACTAAGACTGAATCCCTTCACATGTACTTAGTATTAAAATATTACTGATCAGAATTATTTATTTTCTCCTGCTTAAACTAAAACGATGTTTGGATGTAAAAAAAAAAAAAAAAAGAAATGAATAATTCCACAATGCAACAGCTGTCCACTGTCACTTCAATCTGCTGGTTTTCCATTTTAAAGAAAACCTGAACTTGACTGATAACAAGCATCAAATCAAGGAATTGTATCGACTTAGCATCTGCCTGTTTGATTCAGCTGATTATAAATAGTCTTGAGAAGAACTTTGTTGTGAATTTCCTCTTTATATTTAAATGAAACTAAACTAAAACAGCCCCTGATTGGTTGCTGCATTAAGCTGACCTCCTGCATTTAACAGCATTAGCTACCGATGCTGTTCAGCCACAGGGAAGGAAATCGGGTTAATATGATCAAGTTGGTCTGCATGAACAGATCTGAGTGTATTTTTGTTTACTTCCTAAATTCTGAAATGTTCCTGTTCCTTAAATTAAACTCATGTTTGTTCAAACTGAACCAGAAGCAAGCGGCTCCATTTGAATGTAAATGGAATCTATTAAACGCTTCTCTCTCCTCTATTAACTGATAATAACCGTTTAAAACAATTACTTTTCATCTGTCTATAATGATATTTTAGCCTACTTTATGTTCAAAGAAAGAAGAGAGTGAATCAATGAGCTCCACCTGTTGCAGTAAGATTATTTTGATTATTACCAGAACTTTTAATCAGTAAAAATCAGCCTAAAAACAAAAACCTGATCCCATTTTTCTCTGTTTTGACTGTTTCCCTAAACTTCCCGTCTTTAATTACTTTGTATTGTCTGCGGCAGGCACAGAAATTAGAAGCAGGTCTCTGACATGGCGGCACAGCGGACTCAGGTTAGTGTGTGTTGTCGTGAACATGTGTGACAACATTTGTGTGTCTGACAGCTGCAAAGCTTCTGACCTACATATCTCCAGTCATGTAGCCCCTATAACTGGAAACCAGCAGCCTCTTTTAAACAAACTAACAAACCTATAGGTCGTCTTGTCGGATTCAAAAGTCAAAGTGTTAGGAAAGAAAATGAAACGGGTTTAAAGATAAGATAGTACCAATAAGAGACAAACGGGGCACATAATCCTTTCCCCTCATGGCCTGGTTTCTACATCCCCTCCTCCTCCAAACACGATCCTTCCTTCCTTCCTCATCATGCCCTGAATCATTGTTGACCGCTCACATCCCATGTTCAGCCCAAAGGAAACTCCATCCATCCCTGATCTCACAGAAAAAAAACGCTTATTAAAGGTTTTCCTGTTCCATCAGAAAAGAGGAAAATGAGGTTATATCCGTTTTCTGCACGTTGAGTTGAACTACTTACTTTCATTTTCAGTCTGAAGGTTAAAACCAGATTAAGGTCAGTAAACAATCACAGGCTAAACAGGTTCTTACAAAAAGCTTGTTTTATATTTATTATTAAAAACCCATAAAGGTCATACCTGTCATGTGATTTGATTCAAACAGCCACGGTAGCTTCCTGGAAGAAAAGCAGCCATGTGCTGCTGCCCTGCTGTGTCACCTGCTTACTTAGTTTGGACCTTCTGAATTATTCTCTGCGCTGTCAGTGGTTTGGTTTTCTACTGCTGCTGACTGCTAGTTTCCTGTTCCTGTCTGAGGTGACATGTCTTCTGCTCTGTTACTGTAAAGGAAGTGAGATGTTTACCGAGGAGGTTCATTTAGTCCTCCTAAACATGGCTCTCAGTGGTTTTTAATCAAAAAGAAATCTTTTCTATTCACTTGCTCTATTGTGATACCTTTGATGTTTCAGGGTAGTTACTGTTATTACAAAATATGTCCTCTGGGTTTAACTTATCCTTTAGAGAGGAGTGAGCAGATTGCAGAGCCTAGGTATTTGCTCAGGAACAAAGAGAAGTTGTGATCTACAGGAGACTCTACTGACAGTCTGTGTTACAACTAGGCTACATGGAAGAACGGAAGTAAGAACACCAAGGATCGTATTTATATACAAAGCAAACATTTAGAAGGATGAGCTCTGGTCAAATAAAACAACAAACTAACATTCCCTAAACACACAACCCATCAATACACGGCAATGGCAGCAATAAATTGTTATCTTAATCAGGATACGGGTGCAAACATTTTAGGAATAAGGAGGAGGTTCGCCTTCCAGCAGAGGGTTTAAACTCTAAAACCTGATTAGGTTAGATTGGCCTAGTCTATTATAGAGACTGACATTTTTTCGGGAATCCCACGGGTCACGGGATTCCCGTGGGATGGAAGTCATTATTAGTAACGATCACTTGATTGGGACGGTACAGGATTAAATATTAACGGGAACAGACGGGAGCGGGAGCAAACCAATAGTAACTAAAAAAAAAACTAGGATTGATGCCAAAAAAATAAAATAAAATAGAAAGAAAAAAAATCCAGTACTGCACCGCCATTTTGTAGTTTTTTTCCTTGAAGCCTACACTATAATGCGAGTGAAAGAAAAACTACACAACCCAAAAACCAACAGTGCTTCCGCTCTGAGTTTTTCACCCGCGCTAAAAAAAAATTCAGATTCGATGTATTGGCATAAATCTTATTGAAGACAACAAGAATGCGAGTGGTGCAGGAGCGGGAGTCATTCTGAATGGGAGCGGGATGGGAGTGGGAGTAATTTCACCAGGAGTGGGACGGGACAGGATTCAGATTTCTACTCTGGCCCGGGATCGGGACGGGACACAATTTTTTTCTGTGGTAAATGGTAAATGGCATGTACTTATATAGCGCCTTTATTCAAGTTAGGAGACTTGACCAAAGCACTTTACACTACATTCATTCACCCATTCACACACACACTCACACACTGATGGTGGCAAGCTACTGTTGGAGTGGGACGGAACAGGAGTGGAAATCCACTCCCGTGTCAGTCTCTAGTCTATTAGCCTATTTACACCAGGCTTTTGAAACCATGCTGAGAATAGTCTGCGCACGGCAACCGAGATAAGAGCCGAGTGTAAATGAAACGCAACTGAACTGGACCGTGCCAGACACAACTAAACTGCACTAAATCTAGTCTTGGTTCAACAGTAGGGCTTGGCACGGTTCATCTGTGGCTCGGTTCTCTGATAACAAAGAGTGCATGAGCAGACGGCTTCATCTCCTATTTACAGTCAGCTGACTCATTTCCCAGGTTTTCCGGCATGTTCAGCTTTGTAATTAACAGATCTCTTCACCTGTTCACAACAAGAACTTCTCCTCAGCCTATTTACAATAAGTGGCATCAAAAGAGTGCTGTGCGACCTGTGATGATGCTGAGACCAAGAAGGATGACTTCTTCTGCTGACATTTCACAAAGGAGGAAATATCGCTAATATAAACAAACATAAGTTCCTGAATGTGACAGTAGGAGCCTTTCAAAATGGCCCCTCCCAGTCAAACAGCAGCCGAATGGCAGCAAACTTCCAGCCACTGGAGTTACTCCCTCCTTTTCCTGGGCGTGGATATTTTTTCCCTCCGACTCCACCCTTTCACTGAATTACAGGGTCTGACCAGGAGAAGGCGCTTCTCTTTAGATCTTAATGTCCGCAAATCATCACGGAAAGAATATTTTAGTACAAGGACTGGTGTTTGAAAAGGAATTGTAGGGGACCAGCCAAGGGCCCATCAAGGAAAGTGGGGAAATTTTGCATGGCTACTAATGTATGGGTGCCACCATTTTTGTTTGCATAATTCCCACCTTGAGAGCTGTAGTATTGTGGGCGAGGAGCCGTGTTATCATGATAAGTAAATGGTTGTAAGGAAAAACAAGTTCGGCACACTTAACTGATCCAAGCTCGGTCCAAACTCATCACGGATCGGTTTCAGAGGGCTAGTGGGAACCGGGCAAAAGTCTGAACATGAACCCGATGGCTTCTCAGTGATTAGACTTTAAAAACAGGCTTAAACGTCTCCTCTTTTTCAGCCCCAGGCTCTTTAGGGCCTTGGGTGGGTTTGGGGCCCCTCACACCTTCTACTGAGCACATCCTTCTGCTGAAGAAGCCTTCTAAACCTTATAAAGACAAACACACTCATGCACAGGGGTTGGATCCTAGTGTTCACCTAGTTATACAAGACACAAAGCTACAGCTCCACATATTTCTCTGAATAACATTATGGTTTCTTTGTAAGCTTTGCCTGACGAACATCAGTTCTCAGTGTTTTACTGGCAAACAGGACAAGTAGAAAGATTGGTCAAACATTTTACTCCGTAATAGAATCTAAATTTGATTACGAAAACAAAAAGTCCGATTTTTTTTATTGATAGAACAAACCTTCATCCTCATGTCCCGGCCATGCTTTTCCAGATCCTTCCTCATCTCCTGAGCTCCGAGCCGGGCCGCATTCAGCACCAAATACTTCCACTCGATTGGCTGAAAGACATGGGGGTCATGAGGCACGTACAAGCCAATCTTCACCTGAGATACGGACAAAACAGGTCACAAGTTAACCAGCCAGTTCATCTCATACTTTCTTATTCCGTCCGCTGTGCTGCTTTCCCACCTTCTTCAAAGTGTGCTGGTATCTTTTGTAAGAGTTCTCGAACTCGGCCACCAGTTCTCCCAGTGTTCGGTGAGTCAGAGGTTTGTCCATCAGGTCCTGGCGGCGGCTCATGCCCAGGGATCCATAGCGGCCGTTGCAGTAGACGCCAAGAACCACGTGATGAAAGCAGTGACCTGAAAACTGTGTCTTAAAGCTGATGGGGAAGCGCTCGAGAGACGTGAGCCCGTTGGTCAGGTAGCTGATCAGGAGCAGTTCAGGAAGAAAACTGTCATCTTAGATTTTACTGTCTTTGTATTTCTGCCATGAAGTATCAAGACCAATGTTTTTCCTGAGAAGGAATGTGAAAGAAACCTGGACTGGAACTGGGGGTGAATGTGTTTGGATGCGGCAGAGGAAGCACAGCGGCTATCATCACGTCTAATTACATTAAATTTGCAGCTAGAAAAGCACCATTGTTATGATCATACAGCCAAAGCTTTTTGTGATTGCATGTTTCCCGCCTGATCAAATCAATCTTTCACAATCTTAGTTTTTTTTTCTAGATAAACAACCAGACTATCAGAACCTAAAAAACCATGTTAAATCATGAAACATTAAATTTCGTCAAACATAATGTATTTTCCATCTTCCCCCTTCTGAACCTAAAAGTAGCAAATCAGCAACCTGCCACCCTTAAATAAACATAAAAATGAACCAGTTTCAAAATATAAATGAGTCTACAGATGCCAGTAAATTTCTAGACGATCTCTTGCATGGATGGGAGCCAATCATCTGCTTCGGATAAACGATGGAGGGTTGCGATCGGCCAGAACATAGCGGTGCTGTCTTCATTAAACATCTACTGTTGATTACGTAGCAACTTTGTCGCTATATTTAGCAACTGTCTGTGCCTCTAATAACTGTCTTTAAGTTTAATTTGATAACATAAGTTTGACTAAAGCAGTTTTGGTTCAGGTACGATGTTGTTTTAGTTTTAAACTTATGTTTAGTGTTTTAGTAACTTCCCACTTGGTCAATTATGATATTCTCTCCTATGGCTAGATCAAAGCTAGCCTCGTGAGACCATCCTGATCTCGCAAGCTTTCAAGATTTCACTCGCAGATCAGTCTGGAGACTCTCCGTTGAAGAAAATTTGGAGCCGTTCACCAAACGAACCTCCAATCAGCGTTGTCTTTGAGGCGGGTTGAGGTGTGACGCAACGAGAAGCGCGACAGTTCAGTCTAAAGAACATGGCGGCTTCAGCCGATGAAACTAGCGTTAGCGTGGCTATCGAGCAAGTTTTATCGGAATTACAGAGTATTTCTACACTGAAAGAAGAGCAAAACACTGCTCTGGAGGCTTTTCTCAGAGGAAAAGATGTTTTTGCTCTTCTCCAGACTGGTTTCGGCAAGAGTAGCCTGGCTGTTAGTACGTCATATGCTTCGTTGATCTGATTGGTTTATTTGGCCCGTCTATCACCAACATAGGCCAATCAGCTAACCAGTATTTTCGCCCCTTCCCAAAATGACTTCAACGGAAGGTTTCCAGATGGATATTCGGAGCAAATCCATCTGGCGGAGTCAGGTCAGATCAAAGCATTAACAGGTATACAAATCAGGTGATGATGTCATCTAGTACTTTTTAGGACAGCCAGTAGTGACTTTAACAAGACCTTGCAGAGAACTGTACCAGCGGTCATACACATCTGTGTGTGTGTGTCCTCATATATGGAAGGACACAGAAGCAGTGAAGGAGCTAAAAAAAAAAAGGAACACAGGATGAACTGTAAGCCCCGCCCCCAACCTGTTTTTCCCCCTTCTTGCACAGCACTCTGAGCTTAATTTAATACACTTAACACTTACATATAAAATGTTTCTACAGTAAAAAGTAATGCACAGAATAGATCGTTGGAAAGTTATCTGTCTAGTAGAACTACAGACAGTTTTTAGTTTAAATCTAGTCTGTGGGTTTTCCTACAGGTCCCAAGACACATGCCTTTTGTTTCTATTCTTTGGTCACTTTTAGCTTCATCTTCCTAATTTCTTCATCTATTTTTTTCCTTTTAGCCGATGTGGCAGCCTGTGTGTGAAGAAACAGACACTGGATGACTCGCTGCCTTCTCTGGTGATTTAGCAGCTATGCTGTATTGTTTACATATCCTGCCTGGAATGTGCTGGAGGAGCTGCTGGCCGTAAAAGACTCCTCCCATTATCGTGTCATTAGTGGAGAAAAGTCGACCCAGGTTGGCTCCAGTTCCTGTATTCGCTCAATCTCACACTTAGTCAATTGTTATCCGATTACATTTACTCAACAAACGCATTTTTCTTAACTAGAAAAGAGTATGAGGTTTAGTTCCTTAAAGTTTGTTCTAAGAATACATAAAGTTTAATAATCAAAGTTAGTTACTTTTATTAGTTACGTTGGCATAATGACCATAGGTAAATAATTATATATTTTTGACCCTTCAAAATGTATAAAAAAAAATATTTGTATACTTTTTTCAGTAAACTTACACTTTTTTATTACGTTACATTTGTATTTTAATGTATTTGTTTAAAAAAAATTGTGCCGTGAAAGCTGTGGCTTTTAATTGATAATTTTGACAAACTTCTATAAATTACAGCTGAGTTCAACAGGGTTCCTACAGCATAAGGCAAGTTCAATTCAAGACTTTTTCAGACTTTTTAATGCCACTTAAAATAAGAATTCAAGACCAAATTCACAAGAAACACAAGAAAAACCTGCTTGCGACAACTTTACCCAAAGGTTTATTTTAACATAAACCACTGCGCTAATGTTTCAAATTTTGAAAAGCTTCCCATACAGGAAGAAAGCTAAAAACAACAATTATTTAACTGAATTCACTAACTTTGTTTTAGCAGGGAACAAAACAAATCAGTTTTAAAGCCCCAACATAACCAGTGCTAAGTCTTTTTTGCAGCTATTTTTCTTTGTATGGTTTTCTTAGTATGTTTGATTTGGTGATAAGTGGAGGTGTTGGAGAGACAAGGGTGGAACTAAACCGAGAAATACCGGCTGTTTCTCTGTAACTCCCTTTTGACGCTTTGTGTTTCGCGCTTCGCATGTGCGACTCCACTGCCTTAATTCCCATCGTTCTGAGCTTGAATGACTTCTTGCACAAAATCCACTGAGCCTCATGTATGTTCCCTGGTTTTAGCCATGGAGAAAACTCTTGGCTGGAGACAATTTTGGTTACATTTACATATGCATATATTTTCCAGACAAAAAGTAAATGGTGCATCTCCCAAACGGCAGCAACAATGCTTCTATTGGTTCCGCTATCGGGACAGAACCAATGATGGCGAGCCCTTATTTTTTAATAAAAAAAAAAGAAAAGGTCAATTTTAACGTTTTATTTAGATTACAAAAATAAACCGTAATAAAAACAATCCTATTTATGATGTTTTAAAAATTTAGACCTACGAAAGACTGTTTTAAGGCATTTTAATACCAATTAAGGCCTTAGTTTTATTTTGAAGAATTCAATGCCTTTAAAGACTTTTTAAGGACCCGCAGGAACCCTGTTCAATGAGCAACATGTGGTCTGCAGGCAGCTCAGCTGGGACGTGAAAATCTAACACGGAGTCTGCAGGTCAACATACAACAGACCCTTGTTCCTCACTAATACACACTGATTAGGAACCAACATTTACAGGAAGTAGGAGACCTTAGCAGCTCAGTTAAAGCACACGCTGCTTCACAAACTATCCATCACCACAGAGTCAAAGCTGTTTCATGACAGTTGAGGTCACATCCAGAGACGCTCCGGTTTCAGCCTCCCAAACATGATCCTGTGTCACATTGTTTTCAGACTCAAACTTTTTAGTAAACATCTCTGAAATGAGTGAAATTAACTAAAACACCAGAGAGGCTGTTTATACTCCACTCTTTTTATTTGTTGTTTATAATTAAAAGAAGCCAGTAATTTCATAATCGTCACTATTTGGAAGCAAGTTAGAACCTGAATCAAGAATTTAGAAATATGGACCAAACTTCCTCAGCAAAACTCAATAATATCGCTTAATACCAAGAATAAAAAGGCTTATGCTGTGTTACCTAATCCATTCTGCTGCTCATTATTCATTTCTACTAAAACAGATCCTTAGAGACGTCTCCAGCACGGCCTTATCAGTGGCAGATAGAAACAATACAACATTTGCAGACAGATAGAAAGTGAACAGACTGAGACGGAGCTGCTCTGACCCAAAATAAACCCTGTGGATCCTGGAGAACCGTCAACACGGATGCAGACTGACAGCACCAAATGCCACAAGCTACAGCAAATGTTTTTCATCCCCTTCTTCCGCCACCATGCTTTCCTAGATTTTTTTTTATGGCAATTATTCATTTCAAATAATAACACTGAAAAGTTATTGAATTGTAAATTAAATTTAGGGCAGTATTGGAAAATTTTAAAAGCAAAAAATAAATAAATAAACTGTAGCAAGACTGTAAAAATTGAAATCCAAGTATTTTTTTCTTGCAATAAGTGTATTTTTGCCTTGATTTGCTCAGGTAAGAAAAGTAGACAATGGAAATATAGTTTATGTTTTTTACCCTGCGATACACTGGTCGACCTTCGCCCATAGAGCGCTGGAGATGGGCACCAACCCCAACATGCCCTGAAGGATAAGCAGGGGGAGATGGATGAATGGATAGATTTAAGTTTTTAAAAATAAAAAAAAAACACAATTTTCTTATTTTTAATTAATAATATATAATTATATAATTTTAAGAATAAAAAAACTACATTGGTAGATTATCTCATTTTAACCTATTCAAACTAAGGGCAAATTCAATGATTCTAAGATATTTCTACCAAAGTTTTAGACTAGATATTGCATTGTGTCATATAGACTCACTAAAGACTATAATTTAACAAAACAACATTTTCACACTGCAGAGGAACTCAGTCTTGGTCAAATTAACAAGTCCAAGAGACTTTTTCTTAATCCTGCACTTTAGGTGGTGGTGATGATAGGTTTAAAGTGGGTTTGCTGCCACAAAAATAATGGAGAAACTTCCAGCTAGCATTTTCCAAACAAAGGTTATTGAAAAATCCTTCAACAATTAACTTTGGACAAGCAAACTTTCAATCCCAGGTGTGAAAATCGACATACTTGTCCTTAGTGCAAAGGAAAATCAAAATAAAGTCGCAATCGCAATATTAGCTTAAAATAATTGCAATTTAGACTTACAGGGAAATTCTGGTTCCAGTAGCTTATAAAGAGTACAAAGAGTTAAAGCAAGATGCCATTAAAGATAAAAATATTACAGATAATATAAAAGAGTGTAGATAAAATTCAGATTTTTGGCAAAATCATTCAGCTTCAATAAAAAAAAACCCGTGTTCTAATAAAAGGCAAATAGTCTTTGTCTATGAACCCAAGAATGCAGAGGAGGGAGGAGATAAATATTTACCAAGAGAACCAACAGGTTAGCCTGGCGCGTCACCTCTATGTGACATGAAGGTGTGGCCATGTTGGAATTGTCATTTATAGCTAATGTGATTCATCAGGTATCTCAGGTGAGGCCCTATAGCTCAGTGGTTAGAGCACTGGTCTTGTAAACCAGGGGTCGCGAGTTCGAATCTCGCTGGGGCCTTTCCCTTTATCCTTTTTGGTCTATCAGGCTTTCTTATACACCTCAGTTCTTATTGGTTTCCCTTTATTTCCTCTAATTATCAGCTGTTTTTCTTCTCCATCCCTTCCAGCATTGAGTTTTGCTCTGCAGACCAAAGCCACCCCTAATTACACTCACTGTCATCTTCCAGCCTGACAGAATAACAGCCCTGCAGAATCAGCCCTCAAAGGCGACACTGGATCATTTGTTCTTACAGACATTAGTCCTCTGCACAGAAAAAAGTCACCTAAAACCAACTAAACTTTTTTCATTCTAATAAAATGCTCTGGGTCATTCTAAGCAGACACTGCTGGAGACCATGGACACATTCTACCGTTTGCCAAAATCCTCACAGACCATCTGTTTGGAGGCAGCCGGAAATTCCTGCAAGCAGAGAGACTGATTAAATCAGGCAAACAAGAGCAGTTATTGATAACCCCAACCTTGAGGTAGCTTTAGAGGCTAAACACCACATTTTCCTATTCTTATAATCAGCAAAGAACATTGAAAAAGATGTTTTCTTTTTTTTAGAATATAGGATTAGAGTAAAATACTCCTTCTATTTGGAAATATTCTTACTTATTTGCACAGATTAAGGCTAAATACACTTAATTTAAGAATTTTGTACTTATTTCTAGATCGTTTTTGCATTGTGTATAAATACACGTCTTATTGAGCTCTCTCCATGTCACATTTGTTAAAATCCTACTTATTGGTTAACAATTTTTTTTTCTCACTCCTCAGATTAAAAAGGTTACTGCATCAGATTTGTGTTTTTAACTTAGCCGCAGCATTGCCTTTAAGCGGAATTCTTGCAGTATTTGTGCTTTCAAGAACACACGGGAATCCATCTTGAAACGCACCAGCTTCAACGGTTCTAGATACAAAACAGGTTGGCCAATCACATTGCAGTATTAGTGTTTAAGGCGGGGCATAGAGCTGTGATGAAATCAAGAGCAGAAGTAGTCCCAGATCAGGCTGGGTTGCTGGGTTATCTTAGCCAAGGACATGACGTAATATAGCAGAAGGGGTCGGCTGTGATTGGTCAAAAGATGTGAAAGAAAAAAAAAGTCATCTTTAATCATCAGTGTTTAGTTTGGTTATTTATTGATGGTCCTCATAAGATGCACCTTAAGTGGGAGGAGGGAGCAACCACACACAATCTCTAAACCTCTTTCCCTCCGTTTCCAGTAAAGACTGCTGTGAGAAATCCTTCGCCCCATCCGACCAATCAGTTATAAACCTGTCTTTGCTCCGCCTTCCCCGTTTATGTCACGAAAAAGGCTAGTGTGGCGCTGTCAGTCACAGTCACAGTTGGCTTACGGCCATACCGTCCTGAAAACGCCTGATCTGGTTTGATCTTGGAAGCTAAGCAGAGTTGGGACTGGTTAGTATTTGGATGGGAGACCGCCTGGGAATACCAAGGGCCTTTTGGGGGGTAGTGGCCAAGTGGTTAGAGGCATGAGCTTGGAGTTCCGAGTTTGAGCCCCACTCCCACAGACTGCCACTCTGGGTCTCTGAGCAAAGACCCTTACAGCCACACAGCTCCCTACGCACTGCACAATGGCAGCCCACTGCTCCCCAGGAGGACGGGTTAAATGCAGAGAGTTCATTTCGTTGCTCTGTACGTGTGGCAGCGTAATAACAATAAAATGCAGGGGGGAAAAAAATAAATTACCCAACCCCTCCACTTTATTCGTGTCTTTAAAATAATCTAATCATAATCGAATTTCGATGGGTAATAATTTAATCATTCATTCTGCAATAAATCACATATCTGTCACGATTTCTTTCACAGAGGAGCAAAGATGATCTGAAATTTCAAAACATGGTTCAAAACTGAACTTAATTGATATCGTAATCATCACCAAGCAGTTAAATAAAAAACGAATTAATTGCATTAAAAAAAACAGTTTTCAGGCAGTAAAACCCAGGTCTCCCGTATGTCTCAGATTAACAACAGTTGTACTTAATGTAATCTAGCATGCAGCCTTTGTCATGTTAAAAAACTCTGTTTGAGGAACAAAAAGGTTTGAATCACTATTCAGATAATAAGCAGAACATCTCACACCGACTTAAAAGCAAACTTGACACCTAAGAACGGGAAGGAAAAAAAATGGTGAACGTCAAATGAAATGGCAAAGCTGTTTAAAATGACACGGCTGACCTCAAACTAAGGCTCTGCTGGATGATGCTACGCTGAAGAAAAAATGAGGAGGGGGAATAAACTTTGAAGTGTTCCTGTTGCCAGGCAACACAACAGAGCCAGAAATGGGGTTGATTTGGAGTGTGCTGGTAGGGGGCCATTAGAATATTGGCTTATTCTTTACCAACAAACACACACCTGGTGTGAACAGGAAAGGATACACTCCCAGGATGACGGCCTCCAGGCATTTGATGGGTAGAGACTCCCTGATCATTTCTCTTGCTGTTTCCATCAACCTGCAGAAACAGGAAGTTGAGGAGACAAGAATGAGAAAGTGGAAGTCAAAACTCCTCCTGCAAACAGAGAAGTGTGAACAAGTGAAATGGTAAAGGAGTAGAATGATGGGAAGAAAATACAAAAACAAACAGAGAGCAAAAAAAAAAAAACAGAAGTGAAAATAGAAGGGAGGAGAATCCAGGGACAGGATGGGGTAAGAAACCAGGGCTGTTTATCTCTAAACAATTACTGAGAGCTTTAAATGAAATGCAAACATAAATATCCATAATAATGGCCAAAACTTGGTAATGACTGACTAGAAATGTCTTTTAGGTTTAATGTTATAAAGAAGATATACTGTGACGTCACAACAGGTCAGAGTTAGCCAACACATGAGAGTGAGGAGGAACCAGCCTCCTTAAAATCCATAATACCGGGCTTTAAGCCAGAAGTGAGACAGAAAATGAATTCATGTTTAAATAAACTGAGACCCAAGGGTCCAGTTAGTGGCTGATGATGAAAGTTAATCTTTTATTTCTTTAACTTTGGATAATTTTCCATCTCAGCTGCAGCAGGAAGGTCATAGTCTACATAGAAAATGGATGTTTCTACCAATACATCCAGTCAATGATGTTAGGAGCTTCAGATCCAAGCCTAAAAAAATCTAACATTATCAGAAGAGACTGGAGATCAGTGTGAAGATTTAGCATGTCTCAGACATAAAACATGTTCAGGCACCTTGCTGTCTCTGCTATTCACAGTGTTCTGAATCCAAACATCCACCCTAATAACTATATAGCTTCATATTCCTCTTCTATTGGTTTGGTTTCCGGATAGACTAGTCCGAGTAGCGCCATCTCACTGCGGAGCCGAGTCCGACATGGTTTTTAGACGTACAGTGTGAGCAGGTAGATCACATTAGAGCGTCGGGTCGAACATTGTGAGAGCAAACATCTTGAGCTGTGAACTTTTAGACCCTGCTGTTTCGTCGTACAGTGTGAAATGTAGCTGCGTGTAACGATTGAAAAATTCGTACAGTGTATGCCCGGCTTTAGAGATCAGACTCCTCTGGATATAAAGCAGCTGCTCTACTCTGGGGCCTCCCTAGAAGGCCGAGCATCTCGCCTGGCCTGGCCAGCCAACAGGATGGCTTATCTGTGAGATCTATTTCTTTAGGGTAGCGTCCACCTTACCACAATGGCTATAAAGCTCAGTCTGACAAACTCCGGCTCCATTCTCCTCTCTGAGATCCCAGAACTCTTCTACTATGACTAGAACAGAACCAGGAACCTTAGCTGCAAATCCACTCACCCGCACAGAGGTCGGCTCTTCTTGATCTCAAAGAACTGGGTTCCAGTGTGGTTGTATCTGACATGAAACATTAAGGTCAACATGATTTTTTAATAGTATTTCCCTGAGCCTGCATGGGTGCAACACTAATATTTGATCATTAAATTTACTTTCAAATGTAACCAGAGAATGGGGGGGTGAGAATATTTGCTGTTTAGGATGTAAATGATGTGGTGTTTGTTGCAAAGGATACTGCAGAGCCTTCATGTAGTTCTGGACGGCCACCAACCAATCAGGGACGGACATGGATGGTTTGAAGGTTGGAATGGAGGGGACGGGATGCTGAGAAAGAGAGAAAAAAAAGAAAAGCATACATGGAAAATTATTTACAGCAAATTAGCAAGGGGAAACTTTCAGACCTGTTCCCCCATCATTAAAGCCCTTTGATTCTTATCTCCAAACTAATCAGAAAGAGTTTTATCAGACTGCCTAAATCCATCCTACTTTCTTTTCTTTTTTATATCTACAACTTTAAAGAAATTAAAGCAGAAAATCTGAAACATGGCAATTATTATTATTATTGTCAATTCATTCATAAAGCATATTTAACACTGCATTAGATGGAGCAAAGCAATGACCAAACAAAAGTCAAACAAAGAAATGAAACACACAAAAAAAACAATGTAAAGAGACTAAATGAGATGTTGAATAAAATACAATAAAAACAGTTAAGATAATTAGTCTAAACAGAGAACTTAGATCAGAATATTAAAGCATCACAAAAAACTGAAAACCAAAGAGTAGAGAGGTTTTCTTCCAGCTGGCCAATGCACCAGTATTCTTTATCGCAGTGGTTAAAGTTTAGCAATGTTGCTCCTGAAACAGCAGAAAGACATGAGCCCCATTTACACGACCCCTTTGAAACCGTGCAGAGATCGGTCCGAGCACGGTAACCAAGGTAACTGCTGAGTATAAATGGAATGCAGAACTGAACCAGACCGCGCCACACACAACCAAACCACTCTAACATGGTAGTAGTTCATCAGTAGGGCTCGGCACGGTTCGGTTCTCAGATAACAAAGAGCTCAGGAGCAGACCGCTTTCAACTTAAAATATCTTACATTTCAGATATTCATAAAAATACTAGCTTCCCTACCGTGCCACACCATTTTCCAGTGGTGATTCTGCTTAGCAGTGTGATGAGCCTCAACGCCGGCCGTTGTTTCCTGAGTCTGTAAGCCCTGATAAGACTTGTTTGTCGTATCCACTTCCCAACAGCCGACTCTGTCAAATAAATTCACCAACGGCTGCCTTCTTAGCCTAGCCTGATAAACCAGACTAAATGTGAGCTTAAATGTGTAATTTAGTCTGGCCCCAATGAATGAGACACCGGAAGATTGATCAGGAACCAGTTTTGCGCGGATGACGGCTGGGGGGGGGGGGGTCAAAATGAATACATAAAACTAAATCCTATCTTAATTTGTCAGAGCACAACCTAACCAGCCAGAGGGTGTCGCAATTCAGTGTTATCAGCCGTAGAGTTATCAATGCTGTTTTAAGGTCTGGGCCTGACAATGAATTGGTTTTTTTTGGAACGTTGGCGAGGCAGTACCGTGAGTTTGGCGAGGCGGCCAAGATAGTGCTGCGGGAAACGCTGCAATACTAACATTACATTATCACACCGTACTCTCAGTCACTCAGTAACTTAGGGCGTTTCTCAATTCACGAGAACGCGAGTATGTACTCGCGTTCTCGTCAAGTCCGTTCTTGGCGAGAACGCAGGAAGATCGGACTTGACGAGAACGCGAGCACGCAAGCACGTATGTGTATTGGAGCAGAAGCGTACTCGTGACGTCATCACATGCAACGTTCTTTAGCATTTCTTTAACAGTCAAAACTATTTATTCCTTACACAAAACATTTTGAAAACAATATTTTTAATTTCTAAAGCTTAAAAAACATTTAAAAAAATTACAGAACCGCAAAAAACCGCCATCAGAACGAGCGGTAGTTCACACATAACTAGACCGAGAGAAGTGCACTACAGACGGGGTAAATTTAGCCCTGGCTGCGGTTACCCTCGGAGGTCTGCTGGTCACTCTGGTCCACTCAACATCGGACTTTTTTTTTTAATTTCGCACTAACTCTGTAAACAGACCACACAGGGAGGCTTAAATGTATAATGTTATCACCTCAAACAATTTGAAAACGTACTTTTGAAGAACAACAGCAGCAGAAAAGGGAATGTTTAACTTAACACTGTGAGCGCTGTCTCGAATCAAGCTGCGGCCGCGGGGCATTCTTGGGAAGCGGTCAGTACGAAGAACGCACAAGTCTGCTCTGATGCATGCTCGATAAAGAGGGCGGGGCGAGAACAACATCCGGGGATTTGTTGCGTTCTCGATCTGGCGTTCTCGAGAATTGGAACGGTACTCGGGCTGAGGCTGATGAGGTGTCACGAGTACACGAGCACACGAGAACGCTCAAGAACGCATATTGAGAAACGGCCTTAGCCTGTGAATTCCTAGCTAGCAGTTACTAGCGTAAACAATAGGCACTAACGTTAACGTGTACTAGGCTACTTCAGTAGGCTTACTTAAAAGTCTATGACTTACCCTTCATGTGACTCGACAGCGCAGACTCAGCATTGTGAAAAGCTGCACATCTTTTTTTGCAGACTTTACAAGAGGCAACTCGTGGGGTTTGTCCCCATTTAATCCATAATTTGTATTTTTCATCTTCCAGCCAACGTTCATTGAAACGACAACCTCCTGGCATGGTGCAGTAGTGGTTTCATGGGGGCGGAGTCACACATGGAAATAGACTGGCAGATCGCAGTCACACATAAGCCAGCAGGTTTCATTTTCGGGCTCTCCAACATTTTATTACTGCATTTATTAAACACACGATTCAGTTAGATGGGTTTTTGTTGCGAAAGAAATAGTTAAAATTTCAAGCATTTTCAAGCATTTCATCCAAAATATAAGCACTTTTCAAACCTTGAAAACACAACGTCAAAATTCAAGCATTTTAAAGGATTTCCAGCACCCTTACGAACCCTGATTGATGAGAACAACCCGTTGTTTTTCAAACCGTGTCTATGCTTCCTTATTGTGCTTTCTCCAGCGTCGCACAGCTTTGTCACCACGCCTTGCATTCAGAAATTCAAAACACATCTCTGCATTGTGATTGGCCAGCCAGTTATGATGTCATGATAATATAATATCACGACCAAAGTATCTTGACACATATAGTATCGAAACACCCATGTCATTACTCACCCCTAGAGGCAGCATAACAAGAAAAAAAAGAGAGAGGTGTCTACTGTCCAACAAGAATAGAGCCGCAGTGAACTAGACTGAAACATCCGACGCATTAAGGGGAATCAGAACGAAACCCACAGAAACCTAAACCTCTTTAAAGCAACACATTCTGAATATTAAAACAGCCGATAGTTTAAAAGTCATTTCACCTCAACAGGAACCTTTTCTCACAGGTCACAGATGCGAACAGAAAAAAGGGAAGAGAGCCGATCAGGCTTTAACACAAAACAACACTTCCTGAGACACGCATGCAGAATAAAAGCTGTATGCAGAACGGAAGGGTGAACCATGCGCACTATCATTTCCTGTGGCTTTCTGCTTCTCTCTTTCTGAGCATGAAATAGAAGTGAAAGATGAGTGAAGGGGACATCATGGTGGTAAAGCTAAGCTTCAAAAACCACAAACCACCCTAACCGCATGCATAGTGAGCTCAAGTAATCTCTTTTATATGATCTCTCTTTTATATGATAACATCTTCTAGTACAGCAGTTATTTAGGCATTTAACTGTTTATTTACTGCTAGCAGAGACGATTAGCCTTAAAACAGACGGACTAATCAGGCAATCTGTCAGTCAGCAGCTCACAGAGTAAGACGATCTGCCAACTGGCCACTTGTCTTGGTGTAAAGCAGCCTGCCAGCCATGAGCAGAAAATCGTCATTTTTAACAGCCATTTAATCTCTTGGTGAAATCCTCTGCTCAGTCGTGCACCCATTGATTGGGCTTTCTGACATTCTCACACTCTGAAGCTACCATTATGCTCAGAGAGTTAAAAAAAGAGCAGATCTGCCTTTTGTCCTGACTTCTGTGAAAAAATAATGTTTACTATGTTTATTACTGTGCTATGATGAGAGAGGGAAAATAAGGGTCTCCTTACTTTCAGGCATTCTGCAGTGAGGACTGATTCACAGCCCCGGCTGATGCCGGTAATTAATCTGTCTCCTCCTTTTGTTGCTGAACTCACATCTGTAATCTCGTTCCTATTTCTGTTCCCCGTCCTTCCTAAAGACTTCTCAATTACTGCCTCAAACTTCATAGATTTCCCTCTCTGTTTGAGCCCTTCCAGTCGTACACTATTCTTCTGCTGTCCTCCCTCTTCTGTGACAGATTTTCTAATTTCTCTTCCCAACAGCCTTGTTCCCAGCTCTACATCTGGACACTGTAAATAACACGTTTCCTGCTATTTTGGCAGCCCACTGCTCCCCAAGGGGATGGGTTAAATGTAGACTTAATTTTTCCATTGTGAGATCAATAAACTTCTATTTCTATATGTATAATGTCTTAACTATTTAGCCGGAAAAATCTAAATTCTGACTTTTTCAACCAAAATATTATTATATATATATATTACTTTTTTTTAAACTGCAAGCATGTAGATGTTTCACTCCAGGGTTTATTTGCTTTCATGACATTAAAAGCATGCTGGTTCAGAGTCCACTGGAGTGGTCACGGTTTTCGGTTCGGTATATGTTGATTGTTAGCCTGACATGTTGGTCGTGTTGCTGTTAGCATAAACAAAACGTGTTGCACAATTCTTGCACACTGTTGCACCTTTATCCACAACTTTCTTTCCGCCGTCATCGTAGGTCACTCTAGATGCAAAGTGGTCCCATACAGCAGACCTATAAAGTGCTGCTGGCGCGTCTTCCAACTCCTGTTCTTTCCCATGCGCCATACCCACACAATTCTCCACAACAACTGATTTTATTCTGCTACACCCGGCTACGCTGCTTCGCTTCTTCTTCTTCTTGATTACTACAGGTGGTTGGCTTTGGTCGCAGTACCGCCACCTTCTGCTCTGGAGTGTAAACGCTTCGCCTATGAGAAAAAGGAGCAGCGCATGAACCGAACGCAACACACGCGAATCAAACCCAACGGTTCGGACGGTTTTCATAAACCATTCCATCCCTAGTGGAGGGTGATGCGGGGGGTGGTAAAGGGTCCTGTAATTCCGTAAAAGTAAAAAAAAAAAAAAAAGGTGGTTTGAGAGGGGCGTGAAGGAAGCCATCTATGTTAAGAG